TGTGGAATGGGGTTATAATGGGGTGTAATGGGGTTATAATGGGGTATAATGGGGTGGAATGGGGTTATAATGGGGTGTAATGGGGTTATAATGGGGTATAATGGGGTGGAATGGGGTTATAATGGGGTGGAATGGGGTGTAATGGGGTGGAATGGGGTGGAATGGAGTGGAATGGGGTTATAATGGGGTTATAATGGGGTGGAATGAGGTGGAATGGTGTATAATGAGGTGTAATGGGGTTATAATAGGGTTATAATGGGGTGTAATGGGGTGGAATGGGGTTATAATGGGGTGTAATGGGGTTATAATGGGGTGTAATGGGGTTATAATGGGGTGGAATGTGGTGTAATGGGGTGTAATGGGGTTATAATGGGGTGTAATGGGGTGTAATGGGGTTATAATGGGGTGTAATGGGGTTATAATGGGGTGTAATGGGGTGTAATGGGGTTATAATGGGGTGTAATGGGGTGGAATGGGGTTATAATGGGGTGGAATTGGGTTATAATGGGGTGTAATGGGGTGGAATGGGGTTATAATGGGGTGGAATGGGGTAGAATGGGGTGTAATGGGGTGGAATGGGGTTATAATGGGGTGTAATGGGGTGGAATGGGGTTATAATGGGTTATAATGGGGTGGAATGGGGTGTAATGGGGTGTAATGGGGTTATAATGGGGTGTAATGGGGTGGAATGGGGTTATAATGGGGTGTAATGGGGTTATAATGGGGTTATAATGGGGTATAATGGGGTGTAATGGGGTTATAATGGGGTGGAATGGGGTAGAATGGGGTGTAATGGGGTGGAATGGGGTTATAATGGGGTGTAATGGGGTGTAATGGGGTTATAATGGGGTGGAATGGGGTGGAATGGGGTTATAATGGGGTGAAATGGGGTGTAATGGGGGTAATGGGGTTATAATGGGGTGTAATGGGGTGGAATGGGGTTATAATGAGGTGTAATGGGGTTATACATAGGGTATAATGGGGTGTAATGGGGTGGAATGGGGTTATAATGGGGTGTAATGGGGTTATAATGGGGTGTAATGGGGTTATAATGGGGTGGAATGAGGTGTAATGGGGTGTAATGGGGTTATAAGGGGTGGAATGGGGTTATAATGGGTGGAATGGGGTGGAATGGGGTTATAATGGGGTGTAATGGGGTTATAATGGGGTGTAATGGGGTGATGGGGTTTTAATGGGGTGTAATGGGGTTATAATGGGGTGTAATGGGGTTTTAATGGGGTTGGAATGAGGTGTATGGGTGTAATGGGGTTATAATGGGGGGAATGGGGTTATAATGGGGTGGAATGGGGTGGAATGGGGTTATAATGGGGTGTAATGGGGTTTAATGGGTGTGTAATGGGGTGGAATGGGGTTATAATGGGGTGTAATGGGGTTATAATGGGGTGTAATGGGGTTATAATGGGGTGGAATGAGGTGTAATGGGGTGTAATGGGTTATAATGGGGTGGAATGGGGTTATAATGGGGTGGAATGGGGTGGAATGGGTTATAATGGGGTGTAATGGGGTTATAATGGGGTGTAATGGGGTGGAATGGGGTTATAATGGGGTGTAATGGGGTTATAATGGGGTGTAATGGGGTTATAATGGGGTGGAATGAGGTGGTAATGGGGTGTAATGGGGTTATAATGGGGTGGAATGGGTTATAATGGGGTGGAATGGGGTGGAATGGGGTTATACTGGGGTGTAATGGGGTTATAATGGGGTGTAATGGGGTGGAATGGGGTTATAATGGGTGTAATTGGGTTATAATGGGGTGTAATGGGGTTATAATGGGGTGGAATGAGGTGTAATGGGGTGTAATGGGGTTATAATGGGGTGGAATGGGGTTATAATGGGGTGGAATGGGGTGGAATGGGGTTATAATGGGGTGTAATGGGGTGGAATGGGGTTATAATGGGTGTAATGGGGTTATAATGGGGTGTAATGGGGTTATAATGGGGTGGAATGAGGTGTAATGGGGTGTAATGGGGTTATAATGGGGTGGAATGGGGTGGAATGGGGTTATAATGGGGTGTAATGGGGTTATAATGGGTGTGTAAATGGGTGGAATGGGGTTATAATGGGGTTATAATGGGGTGTAATGGGGTGGAATGGGGTTATAATGGGGTTATAATGGGGTGTAATGGGGTGGAATGGGGTTATAATGGGGTGTAATGGGTTATAATGGCGTTATAATGGGGTGGAATGGGGTTATAATGGGGTTATAATGGGGTTATAATGGGATATAATGGGTGTAATGCAGCATAATGGCATCTAATGGGATATAATGGGGATATAATGGGGTGTCCATTGGAATGGGGTATGGGGTATTATGGGATGTGACGGGGTATTATGGGATGCGATGTGGCACTATGGGATGTGATGGGGTATTATGGGGTATTATGGGATGCGATGTGGCACTATGGGATGTGATGGGGTATTATGGGGTATTATGGGATGCGATGCGGTACTATGGAATGTGATGGGGTATTATGGGATGCGATGTGGCACTATGGGGTATTATGGGATGCGATGTGGTACTATGGGATGTGATGGGGTATTATGGGATGCGATGTGGTACTATGGGATGTGATGGGGTATTATGGGATGCGATGTGGTACTATGGGATGTGATGTGGCACTATGGGGTATTATGGGATGCGATGTGGTACTATGGGATGCGATGGGGTATTATGGGATGCGATGTGGCACTATGGGATGCGATGGGGTATTATGGGATGCGATGTGGCACTATGGGATGCGATGGGGTATTATGGGATGCGATGTGGCACTATGGGATGTGATGGGGTATTATGGGATGCGATGTGGCACTATGGGATGCGATGGGGTATTATGGGATGCAATGTGGTACTATGGGATGTGATGGGGTATTATGGGATGCGATGGGGTATTATGGGATGCGATGTGGCACTATGGGATGTGATGGGGTATTATGGGATGCGATGTGGCACTATGGGATGCGATGGGGTATTATGGGATGCAATGTGGTACTATGGGATGTGATGGGGTATTATGGGATGCGATGTGGCACTATGGGATGTGATGGGGTATTATGGGATGCGATGTGGCACTATGGGATGCGATGGGGTATTATGGGATGCAATGTGGTACTATGGGATGTGATGGGGTATTATGGGATGCGATGTGGCACTATGGGGTATTATGGGATGCGATGTGGTACTATGGGATGTGATGGGGTATTATGGGATGCGATGTGGCACTATGGGGTATTATGGGATGCGATGTGGCACTATGGGGTATTATGGGATGCGGGCCGCACCGGTTCTGCCGCAGCAGCGCCCGCAGGGTCCCCTTGTGGGTCAGGGCCACGTCCGCGTCCAGGCTCAGGTAATGCTCGCACTGAGGGTCCTGGCGGCAAAGGGACCTGCACCGGGGGCACCGTCACCCCATAGGGACCCATAGACCCCCCCTAGACAGCCGCAGACCCCCATGGAGCCCCATAGACACCCATAGACCTCCAGAGACCACCACAGACCCCAATAGGCCCCCATAGACACCTATAGACACCCCATAGACCCCCCATAGACCCCCACAGACCCCCATAGACCCCCCCATAGACCCCCTCATAGACCCACCACAGACCCCCATAGACCCTCCATTGACCCCTCATAGACCCCCATAGACCCCCCATAGACCCCCATAGTGCCCCATAGACCCCCCATAGACCCTCATAGCCCCCCCATAGAACCCCCATAGAGCCCCCACAGACCCCCCATAGACCCCCATAGTGCCCCATAGACCCCCATAGACCCCCCACTGACCCCTATAGACCCCCATAGACCCCCCATAGACCCCCATAGTGCCCCATAGACCCCCCATAGACCCCCATAGTGCCCCATAGACCCCTATAGACCCCCATAGACCCCCCATAGACCCTCATAGACCCCCATAGACCCCCCCGGACACCCCATAGACCCCCCACAGACCCCCCATAGACCCCCCATAGACCCTCATAGACCCCCATAGAGCTCCCACAGACCCCCCATAGACCCCCATAGACCCCCCACAGACCCCCCATAGACCCCCATGGACCCCCACAGACCCCTCATAGACTCCCATAGACCCCCATAGTGCCCCATAGACCCCCATAGCCCCCCATAGCGCCCCATAGAACCCCATAGACCCCCCATAGCGCCCATCCCCGTCCCTACATGCCCATGTCCCGCGCCTCTCCCGGCTCCAGCCCCTCCTCGGGCCCCACGAGGCGGACGGAGGCGAAGCGGCGGCGCAGGCGCGGCCACCAGGCGGCGATGTGGGGCTCGTGGTGCGGCACCTGCCATAGGGAACCATAGGGACCCATAGAGACCCCATAGGGAACCATAGGGACCCATAGAGACCCCATAGGGAACCATAGGGACCCATAGAGACCCCATAGGGAACCATAGGGACCCATAGAGACCCCATAGGGAACCATAGAGACCCCATAGGGAACCATAGGGACCCATAGAGACCCCATAGGGAACCATAGGGACCCATAGAGACCCCATAGGGACCCCATAGGGAACCATAGGGAACCATAGGGACCCATAGAGACCCCATAGGGACCCATAGGGACCCATAGAGACCCCATAGGGACCCCATAGGGACCCATAGAGACCCATACAGACCCCATAGAGACCCATAGAGCCCCATAGAGACCCCATAGGGACCCATAGGGAACCATAGAGACCCCATAGGGACCCATAGGGAACCATAGAGACCCATAGAGACCCCATAGAGACCCATAGAGACCCATAGAGACCCATAGAGACCACATACAGACCCATAGAGACCCCATAGAGACCCATAGAGACCCCATAGAGACCCATAGGGAACCATAGAGACCCATAGAGACCCCATAGAGACCCATAGAGACCCATAGAGACCCCATAGAGACCCATAGGGACCCATAGAGATCCATAGAGACCCATAGAGACCCCATAGGGACCCATAGAGACCCATAGAGACCCCATAGGGAACCATAGGGACCCATAGAGACCCCATAGGGAACCATAGGGACCCATAGAGACCCCATAGGGAACCATAGGGACCCATAGAGACCCCATAGGGAACCATAGGGACCCATAGAGACCCCATAGGGACCCCATAGGGAACCATAGGGAACCATAGGGACCCATAGAGACCCCATAGGGAACCATAGGGACCCCATAGGGAACCATAGGGACCCATAGAGACCCCATAGGGACCCATAGGGACCCATAGGGACCCATAGAGACCCATACAGACCCCATAGAGACCCATAGAGCCCCATAGAGACCCCATAGGGACCCATAGGGAACCATAGAGACCCCATAGGGACCCATAGGGAACCATAGAGACCCATAGAGACCCCATAGAGACCCATAGAGACCCATAGAGACCCCATAGAGACCACATACAGACCCATAGAGACCCCATAGAGACCCATAGAGACCCCATAGAGACCCATAGGGAACCATAGAGACCCATAGAGACCCATAGAGACCCATAGAGACCCATAGAGACCCCATAGGGACCCATAGAGATCCATAGAGACCCATAGAGACCCCATAGGGACCCATAGAGACCCCATAGGGGCCCATAGAGACCCATAGAGACCCATAAAGACCCCATAGAGACCCACAGAGACCACATAGGGACCCATAGAGAGCCCATAGAGACCCATAGACACCCACAGAGACCCATAGAGACCCCACAGACACCCATAAAGACCCCAGAGAGACCCAAAGAGACCCCATAGAGACCCATAGAGACCCACAGAGACCCCATAGAGACCCATAGAGACCCCACAGAGACCCATAAATGTACTTATGGATCCCATAGGGTACTTAGGGGTCCCATAGAGCACTTACGGCTCCCATAGGGTACTTAGGGGTCACTTATGGGTCCCATAGAGCACTTATGCCCTCCCCATAGCACCCCATAGCCCCATACCCCCCATAGCCCCATTCCCCCTATAGAGCTCCATAGCCCCCCCCCGACCCCATAGCGCCCCATCCCCCCCATAGAGCCCCATGCCCTGCATAGAGCCCCATAGCCCCCCCAGACCCCACAGCACCCCATACAGCCCATAGAGCCCCATAGCCCCCCCCCAGACCCCATAGCTCCCCCTAGCGCCCCATAGCACCCCATACACCCCATAGCGCCCCATAGCCCCCCCCAGACCCCATAGCGCCCCATCCCCCCCATAGCCCCCCAGACCCCATAGTGCCCCATAGCCTCCCCAGACCCCATAGCTCCCCAACCCCCCCATAGAGCCCCATACCCCCCCCAGACCCCATAGCACCCCATACACCCCATAGCGCCCCATAGCCCCCCCCAGACCCCATAGCACCCCATCCCCCCCATAGAGCCCCATGCCCTGCATAGAGCCCCATAGCCCCCCCAGACCCCATAGCACCCCATACACCCCATAGAGCCCCATAGCCCCCCCCAGACCCCATAGCGCCCCATAGCCCCCCCCAGACCCCACAGCGCCCCATAGCCCCCCCCAGACCCCATAGCACCCCATCCCCCCCCATAGCACCCCATAGCCCCACACAGACCCCATAGTGCCCCATAGCGCCCCATAGCCCCCCCCCCAGACCCCATAGCGCCCCCATAGCGCCCCATAGCGCCCCATAGAGCCCCATAGCGCCCCATAGCGGGGACGGACCCTGTTGTGCACGAAGAGGCGCAGGCGGCTCCCGGGGTAGCTCCAGTGCAGGAGGCGCCGCAGGAAGTGGGGCAGGAACGGGGTCGGCTCCTCCACAAAGACCCCCACGAGCACGGAGGGCAGCGCCTCCGCCTGGACCCATAGAGAGGGGGCAAGAGCATCCCCATAGGGCCCTATGGTGTCCTATGGCGTCCCCATAGGGCCCTATGGTATCCTAGAGCATCCCCATAGGGCCCTATGGAAGCCTATGGTATCCTAGAGCATCCCCATAGGGCCCTATGGAAGCCTATGGTATCCTAGAGCATCCCCATAGGGCCCTATGGTGCCCTATGGCGTCTCCATAGGGCCCTATAGTATCCTATGGTATCCCAGAGCATCCCCATAGGGCCCTATGGTATCCTATGGCGTCTCCATAGGGCCCTATGGAAGCCTAGAGTATCCTATGGCGTCCCCATAGGGCCCTATGGTGTCCTATGGCGTCCCCATAGGGCCCTATGGCATCCCCATAGGGCCCTATGGTGTCCTATGGCGTCCCCATAGGGCCCTATGGCATCCCTATAGAGCCTTATGGCATCCTATGGTGTCCCCATAGGGCCCTATGGAAGCCTATGGTATCCTAGAGCATCCCCATAGGGCCCTATGGTAACCTATGGCGTCCCCATAGGGCCCTATGGTGTCCTATGGCGTCCCCATAGGGCCCTATGGCACCCCATAGCCCGCATAGCACCCTATAGCACCCTATAGCACCCCATACCCCCCATAGCACCCCATAGCACCCCACAGCACCCCATACCCCCCATAGCACCCCATACCCCCCATAGCACCCCACAGCACCCCATAGCACCCCATACCCCCATAGCACCCCATAGCACCCTATAGCACCCCATACCCCCCATAGCACCCCACAGCACCCCATAGCCCGCATAGCACCCCATAGCACCCTATAGCACCCCATACCCCCCATAGCACTCCACAGCACCCCATACCCCCCATAGCACCCCATAGCACCCCACAGCACCCCATACCCCCCATAGCACCCCATACCCCCCATAGCACCCCACAGCACCCCATAGCACCCCATACCCCCATAGCACCCCATAGCACCCTATAGCACCCCATACCCCCCATAGCACCCTATAGCACCCCATACCCCCCATAGCACTCCACAGCACCCCATACCCCCCATAGCACCCCATAGCACCCCACAGCACCCCATACCCCCCATAGCACCCCATACCCCCCATAGCACCCCACAGCACCCCATAGCACCCCATACCCCCATAGCACCCCATAGCACCCTATAGCACCCCATACCCCCCATAGCACCCTATAGCACCCCATACCCCCCATAGCACCCCACAGCACCCCATAGCCCGCATAGCACCCCATAGCACCCTATAGCACCCCATACCCCCCATAGCACTCCACAGCACCCCACAGCCCGCAGAGCACCCCATAGGACCCCACAGCACCCCATAGCACCCCATACCCCCCATAGCACCCCACAGCACCCCATAGCACCCCATACCCCCCATAGCACCCCATACCCCCCATAGCACCCCATACCCCCCATACCCCCCATAGCACCCCACAGCACCCCATAGCCCACATAGCACCCCATACCCCCCATAGCACCCCATAGCACCCCACAGCACCCCATAGCACCCCATACCTTGACCCCACGCAGGTCCCGGAGCCCATAGTCACAGTCCCCACAGCCCTCGGGGCTCCAGCCCCACGGCACGTAGTTCCCCAGGTAATTGAGCTGGAGCTGTGGGGCAGGGGCACAGGGCACCCTATAGAGCCCTATAGGGGCTATAGGGGGGGCTATAGGGGGGGAATGGGGTGCTATAGGGGGTAATGGGGTGCTATAGGGGGTAATGGGGTGCTATGGGGGGGAATGGGGTGCTATAGGGGGTAATGGGGTGCTATAGGGGGGGTAATGGGGTGCTATAGGGGGGGTAATGGGGTGCTATGGGGGGGAATGGGGTGCTATGGGGGGGGAATGGGGTGCTATGGGGGTAATGGGGTGCTATGGGGGGGCTATAGGGGGGGAATGGGGTGCTATGGGGGGGGAATGGGGTGCTATGGGGGTAATGGGGTGCTATAGGGGGGGAATGGGGTGCTATAGGGGCTATAGGGGGGGCTATAGGGGGGGAATGGGGTGCTATAGGGGGGGAATGGGGTGCTATGGGGGGGTAATGGGGTGCAATAGGGGGGAATGGGGTGCTATAGGGGGGGTAATGGGGTGCAATAGGGGGGAATGGGGTGCTATGGGGGGGAATGGGGTGCTATAGGGGGGTAATAGGGTGCTATGGGGGGAATGGGGTGCTATAGGGGGGGAATGGGGTGCTATGGGGGATAATGGGGTGCTATAGGGGGGTAATGGGGTGCTATGAGGGGGAATGGGGTGCTATGGGGGTAATGGGGTGCTATAGGGGGGTAATGGGGTACTATGGGGGGTAATGGGGTGCTATGGGGGGAATGGGGTGCTATGGGGGGAATGGGGTGCTATGGAGGGTAATGGGGGTGCTATGGAGGGTAATGGGGTGCTATGGGGGGTAATGGGGTGCTATGGGGGGGGAATGGGGTGCTATAGGGGGGTAATGGGGTGCTAAAGGGGGGTAATGGGGTGCTATAGGGGGGAATGGGATGCCATTTTTGGGTGCAAAAAGGGCGTTTTTGGGTGCAAAAAGGGCAGATTTGGGTCCAAAAAGTCCATTTTTGGGTGCGAAAAGGCCGGTTTTGGGTTCAAAAAGGCCGGTTTTGGGTGCGAAAAGGTTCATTTTGGGTGCAAAAAGGCCGGTTTTGGGTCTGAAAAAGCCATTTTTGGGTCCGAAAAGGCTGGATTTGGGTCCAAAAAGGCCAGTTTTGGGTCTGAAAAGGGCGTTTTTTGGGTGCAAAAAGGCGGGTTTTGGGTGCAAAAAGGCCGGTTTGGGGTCCAAAAAAGCCATTTTTGGGGTGCAAAACAGAGTGATTTTGGGTCGCCAGACCTGATTTTGGGTCCTAAAAGAGCAATTTTTGGTCCCCAGACCTGATTTTGGGTCCCAAAAGAGCAGTTTTGGGGTCCCCAGCTGTGATTTTGGGTCCTAAAAGGGCAATTTTGGGTCCCCAGACCGGATTTTGGGTCCTAAAAGGGCAATTTTGGGTCCTAAAAAGCAATTTTAGGTCCCCAGACCCGATTTTGGGTCCTAAAAGAGCAATTTTGGGGCTCCAGACCCGATTTTGGGTCCTAAAAAAGCAATTTTAGGTCCCCAGACCCGATTTTGGGTCCTAAAAGCTCAATTTTGGGTCCTAAAAGAGCAATTTTGGGGCTCCAGACCCGATTTTGGTTCCTAAAAGAGCAATTTTGGGTCCGCATACCCGATTTTGGGTCCTAAAAGAGCAATTTTGGTCCCCAGACACGATTTTGGGTCCCAAAAGAGCAGTTTTGGGGTCCCCAGCTGTGATTTTGGGTCCTAAAAGGGCAATTTTGGGTCCCCAGACCGGATTTTGGGTCCTAAAAGGGCAATTTTAGGTCCTAAAAGAGCAATTTTGGGTCCCCAGCTGTGATTTTGGGTCCTAAAAGCTCAATTTTTGGGTCCTAAAAGAGCAATTTTGGGTCCTAAAAGAGCAATTTTGGGTCCCCAGACCCGATTTTGGGTCCTAAAAGAGCAATTTTGGGTCCTAAAAGGGCAATTTTGGGTCCCCAGACCCGATTTTAGGGCCTAAAAGGGCAATTTTAGGTCCTAAAAGAGCAATTTTGGGTCCTAAAAGGGCAATTTTGGGTCCCCAGACCCGATTTTGGGTCCTAAAAGGGCAATTTTGGGTCCTAAAAGAGCAATTTTGGGGTCCCCAGACCCGATTCTGGGTCCTAAAAGTGCAATTTTGGGTCCCAGAACAGCAATTTTGGGTCCCCAGACCCGATTTTGGGTCCTAAAAGCTCAATTTTGGGTCCTAAAAGAGCAATTTTGGGGCTCCAGACCTGATTTTGGGTCCTAAAAGGGCAATTTTGGGTCCTAAAAGAGCAATTTTGGCGCTCCAGACCTGATTTTGGGTCCTAAAAGCTCAATTTTGGGTCCTAAAAGAGCAATTTTGGGGCTCCAGACCTGATTTTGGGTCCTAAAAGGGCAATTTTGGGTCCTAAAAGAGCAATTTTGGGGCTCCAGACCTGATTTTGGGTCCTAAAAGGGCAATTTTGGGTCCTAAAAGAGCAATTTTGGGGCTCCAGACCTGATTTTGGGTCCTAAAAGGGCAATTTTGGGTCCTAAAAGAGCAATTTTGGGGTCCCCAGACCCAATTTTGGGTCCTAAAAGGGCAATTTTGGGTCCTAAAAGAGGAATTTTGGGGTCCCCAGACCCGATTTTGGGTCCTAAAAGGGCAATTTTAGGTCCTAAAAGAGCAATTTTGGGTCCCAAAAGAGCAATTTTGGGGTCCCCAGCTGTGATTTTGGGTCCTAAAAGGGCAATTCTGGTGTCCCCGGGGGGGTTTTTGGGGTGCCCGGACCCATTTTTGGGCCCCCAAAAGCCGTTTTTGCCCCCCCAAAAGGGGTTTTTGGGTGCAGAAAGGCCGTTTTTGGGGTCCTCACCTTGGTGGGGCCGTTGCCATGGATCACAATGGGCAGGGAATCGGTGGCCACGTTGCGGACCCGCACGCGCCCCGGCTCGAACTTGACCACGACCTCGTCTATGGGGGGGGGAAATGGGGTCCTATAGGGGGGTCCTATGGGGGGGGGGTATAGGGACCCCCATAGGACCCACACCCCCCCCCATTGGTACCTATGGCTCCATTGAGGTTCTGGAAGATGCGGGAATGATGATCCAGGGCCAGCCCCAGCTCTTCCTATAGGGAACAATGGGGGGTTATTGGGGGGCTATAGGGGGGGAATGGGGTTCTATGGGGGAGAATGGGGTGTTATGGGGGAATGGGGTTCTATGGGGGGGTAATGGGGTGTTATGGGGGGAATGGGGTTCTATGGGGGGAAATGGGGTTCTATAGGGGGGTATTGGGGTTCTATGGGGGGAGAATTGGGTTCTATGGGGGGGAATGGGGTCCTATGGGGGGGAATGGGGTTCTATAGGGGGGTATTGGGGTTCTATGGGGGGAGAATTGGGTTCTATGGGGGGGAATGGGATTCTATGGGGGGGAATGGGGTTCTATAGGGGGGGTATTGGGGTTCTATGGGGGGAGAATTGGGTTCTATGGGGGGAATGGGGTGTTATGGGGGGGAAATGGGGTTCTATGGGGGGGAATGGGGTGTTATGGGGGGAATGGGGTTCTATAGGGGGTAATGGGGTGTTATAGGGGGGAAATGGGGTCCTATGGGGGGGATTGGGGTTCTATTGGGGGTAATGGGGTGTTATAGGGGGGGAATGGGGTTCTATGGTGGGGAATGGGGTTCTATGGGGGGGTAATGGGGTTCTGTAGGCGGAGAATGGGGTTCTATGGGGGCAATGGGGTTCTATGGGGAGAAATGGGGTCCTATGGGGGGGAATGGGGTTCTATAGGGGGAGAATGGGGTTCTATGGGGGGGTAATGGGGTTCTATAGGGGGGTATTGGGGTTCTATGGGGGGAGAATGGGGTTCTATGGGGGGAATGGGGTTCTATAATGGGATAATGGGGTTCTATGGGGGGGTAATGGGGTTCTATAGGGGGGGAAATGGGGTCCTATAGGGGGGGGAAATGGGGTTCTATAGGGGAAATGGGGTTCTATGGGGGAGAATAGGGCTCTATGGGGGGGAATGGGGTTCTATTGGGGGTAATGGGGTGTTATAGGGGGGTAATGGGGTCCTATGGGGGGGAAATGGGGTGCTATAGGGCTGTTTTGGGCTGGTTTAGGGTGATTTTGGGCCATTTCAGGCGATTTTGGGGCTATTTTCGAGCGTTTTGGGGTATTTTGGGGTGTTTTCTAGTGTTTTTGGGGGTGGTTTTGTCCCTTTTGGGGGTGTTTTTGCCCATTTTGGGTGGGTTTTGGGGTGTTTTGGGGCTCACCCGTAGCTGGGGAGCTGCAGGTCCAGAAGAGCCGTTTTGGGGCTATTTCAGGCCATTTTGGGGCTATTTTCGAGCGTGTTTTTGGCATTTTGGGGTATTTTGGGGTGTTTTATGGCGTATTTTGGGGTGGTTTTGCCCGATTTTGGGTGTTTTTGGGGGGTTTTTGGGGTGCTCACCAGCACCTGGGGCTGCAGGTCCAGAAGAGCCGTTTTGGGGCTATTTCAGGCCATTTTGGGGCTATTTTCGAGCGTTTTTTTGGCATTTTGGGGTATTTGGGGGTGTTTTCTAGCGTTTTTTGGGGTGTTTTTGCCCGTTTTTGGGTGTTTTTGGGGTGTTTTTGGGGCTCACCCGTAGCTGGGGCTGCAGGTAGAGGCGGGTATAGAAGAGCTGGTCGTCGTCGTCGTCGCGATAGCGCCACCTCTCGACTAGGCGCCAGATGGCGGGGGCGAAGCCAATGAAGCCTGGGGGGGGGAGTGACCCCCATTGAGACCCATTGAACCCCATTGAGCCCCATTGAACCCCATTGAGACCCATTGAGACCCATTGACACCCATTGAGACCCATTGAGACCCATTGAGCCCCATTGACACCCATTGATCCCCATTGACACCCATTGAGCCCCATTGAACCCCATTGAGCCCCATTGAACCCCATTGAGACCCATTGACACCCATTGAGCCCCATTGACACCCATTGAGCCCCATTGAGCCCCATTGACACCCATTGATCCCCATTGACACCCATTGAGCCCCATTGACACCCATTGAGCCCCACTGACTCCCATTGAACCCCACTGACACCCATTGAACCCCATAGAGCCCCCTTGACTCCCACTGAACCCCATTGATTCCCCCTGACACCCCCCACGAACCCCATATCCAACATAGGAACCCATTCCCCTCCCCATAGAACCCGATTCCCACCCCATAGCCCCTCACAGGATCCCATTCCCACCCTATAGAACCCCATTCCCACCCCATAGAACCCCATAGCCCCCCCATATCCCCCCATTCCCACCTCATTCCCACCCCATAAAACCCCCTAGCCCCCCCATAGAACCCATAGAACCCCATCCTCACCCCATAGACCCCCCATAGAACCCCATAGCCCCCCATTCCCACCCATAGAATCCCATAGCCCCCCCATCCCCCCCCATTCCCACCCCATAGCCCCCCCATCCCCCCATTCCCACCCCATAGCCCCCCCATAGAACCCCATCCCCACCCCATAGCCCCCCCCATCTCCCCCCATTCCCACCCCATAGCCCCCCATAGCCCCCCCATTCCCACCCCATAGAACCCCATAGAACCCATAGAACCCCATCCCCACCCCATAGAACCCATAGCCCCCCCCATAGCCCCCCCATAGAACCCCATAGCCCCCCATTCCCACCCCCATAGCCCCCCATAGAACCCCATAGCCCCCCATCCCCACCCCATAGCCCCCCCATAGAACCCCATAGTCCCCCATTCCCACCCCATAGCCCCCCATAGAACCCCATCCCCACCCCATTCCCACCCCATAGAACCCCATCCCCCCCATCCTCACCCCATAGCCCCCCATAGAACCCATAGAACCCCATCCCCACCCCATAGAACCCATAGCCCCCCCCATAGCCCCCCCATAGAACCCCATAGCCCCCATAGCCCCCCCATCTCCCCCCATTCCCACCCCATAGAACCCCATAGCCCCCCCATCCCCCCCCATTCCCACCCCATAGAACCCCATCCCCCCCATTCCCATCCCATAGCCCTCCCATCCCCACCCCATAGAACCCCATCCCCACCCCATAGCCCCCCCATAGAACCCCATCCTCCCCCATCCCCACCCCATAGCCCCCCATTCCCATCCCATAGCCCCCCCATCCCCCCCCATCCTCACCCCATAGCCCCCCATAGAACCCATAGAACCCCATCCCCACCCCATAGAACCCATAGCCCCCCCATAGCCCCCCATAGAACCCCATCCCCCCCATCCTCACCCCATAGCCCCCCATAGAACCCATAGAACCCCATCCTCACCCCATAGCCCCCCACAGAACCCATAGAACCCCATCCCCACCCCATAGAACCCCATAGCCCCCCATTCCCACCCCATAGAACCCCATAGCCCCTCCCATCCCCACCCCATAGAACCCCATTCCCACCCCATAGCCCCCCCATAGAACCCCATCCTCACCCCATAGCCCCCCCATCCCCACACCATAGAACCCATAGCCCCCCATAGCCCCCCCATAGAACCCCATCCCCCATCCCCACCCCATAGCCCCCCCATAGAACCCCATAGCCCCCCATCCCCACCCCATAGAACCCCATCCCCACCCCATAGCCCCCCCATAGAACCCCATCCCCCCCATTCCCAACCCATAGCCCCCCCATAGAACCCATAGCCCCCATCCTCACCCCATAGCCCCCCCATAGAACCCCATAGCCCCCCCCATCTCCCCCATTCCCACCCCATAGAACCCCATCCCCACCCCATCCCCACCCCATAGCCCCCCCATAGAACCCCATAGCCCCCCCATCTCCCCCCATTCCCACCCCATAGAACCCCATCCCCACCCCCATAGCCCACCCCATAGAACCCCATCCCACCCCATAGAACCCCACCCCCACCCCATAGCCCCCCATAGCCCCCCCATAGAACCCCATAGCCCCCATAGCCCCCCCCATCTCCCCCCATTCCCACCCCATAGAACCCCATCCCCACCCCATTCCCACCCCATCCCCACCCCATAGCCCCCCATCCCCACCCCATAGAACCCATAGCCCCCCCCATAGCCCCCCATAGAACCCCATAGCCCCCCATAGCCCCCCCATCTCCCCCCATTCCCACCCCATAGAACCCCATCCCCACCCCATTCCCACCCCATCCCCACCCCATAGAACCCCATCCCCACCCCATAGAACCCCACCCCCACCCCATAGCCCCCCATAGCCCCCCCATAGAACCCCATAGCCCCCCATAGCCCCCCCCATCTCCCCCCATTCCCACCCCATAGAACCCCATCCCCACCCCATTCCCACCCCATCCCCACCCCATAGAACCCCATCCCCACCCCATAGAACCCCACCCCCACCCCATAGCCCCCCATAGCCCCCCCATAGAACCCCATAGCCCCCCATAGCCCCCCCCATCTCCCCCCATTCCCACCCCATAGAACCCCATCCCCACCCCATTCCCACCCATTCCCACCCCATAGAACCCCATCCCCCCCCATTCCCATCCCATAGCCCTCCCATCCCCACCCCATAGAACCCCATCCCCCCCCATCCTCACCCCATAGAACCCCATAGCCCCCCCATAGCCCACCCCATAGCCCCCCCATAGAACCCCATAGCCCCCCCCATCTCCCCCCATTCCCACCCCATAGAACCCCATCCCCACCCCATAGCCCACCCCATAGAACCCCATCCCCACCCCATAGAACCCCACCCCCACCCCATAGCCCCCCATAGCCCCCCATAGAACCCCATAGCCCCCCATAGAACCCATAGAACCCCATCCCCACCCCATAGCCCCCCATAGCCCCCCATAGCCCCCCCCGTACCTCCGGAGTTAAGGAAGGGCTTTCCGCGGGGGGGAGGCCGGGGGTAGGCTCCGGCCAGGCCGGGCTGGGGCCAGCAAAAGGCCTCGGCCGAGAACAGGAGCCCGGGGGGGGAGGCACCGCCGGCGGCAGCGGCGAAGGAGGAGACGAGCTCGGGGGGCGGAGCGGCCAGGAGCACGTCATAACTGGGGGCGGGCAGCGGAGACCCCATAGGGGGATTATATAGGGAGGGATGGGGGTGCGGAGAGAGACCTATGGGGATCTATAGGGATACAGAGAGACCTATAGGGACCCCATAAAGAGACTCATAGAGACCTATAGAGACCTATAGAGACCCCATAGAGAGACCCATAGAGACCTATAGGGACCCCATAGAGAGACCCATAGAGACCTATAGGGACCCCATAGAGACCCATAGAGACCTATAGGGACCCCATAGAGAGACCCATAGAGACCTATAGGGACCCCATAGAGACACATAGAGACCCATAGGGACCCATAGAGACCCCATTGAGACACATAGGGACCCATAGAGACACATAGAGACCCCATAGGGGGATTATATAGGGAGAGATGGGGGTGCGGAGAGAGACCTATGGGGATCTATAGGGATACAGAGAGACCTATAGGGACCCCATAGAGACCTATAGGGACCTATAGAGACCCATAGGGACCTATAGAGACCCATAGAGACACATAGGGACCCCATAGAGAGACCCATAGGGGGATTATATAGGGAGGGATGGGGGTGTGGAGAGAGACCTATGGGGATTTATAGGGATACAGAGAGACCTATAGGGACCCCATAGAGACCCATAGAGACCTATAGGGACCCCATAGAAAGACCTATAGAGACCTAGAGAGACCCTATAGAGACCCCATAGGGGGATTATATAGGGAGGGATGGGGGCACGGAGAGAGACCTATGGGGATCTATAGGGACACAGAGAGACCTATAGGGACCTATAGAGACCCACAGAGACCCACAGGGACCCCATAGAGAGACCTATAGGGACCCCATAGAGAGACCCATAGAGCCCTACAGGGACCCCATAAAGAGACCCATAGGGACCTATAGAGACCCCATAGGGACCTATAGGGACCCCATAGGGACACATAGAGCCCTACAGAGACCCCATAGAGAAACCCATAGGAACCTATAGAGACCCCAGAGGGACACATAGAGCCCTATAGAGACCCCATAGGGGGATTATATAGGGAAGGATGGGGGGGCAGAGAGAGACCTATGGGGACTATAGAGACCCCATAGAGAGAGACCCTATAGGCACCCCATAGGGACCCACAGAGAGACACATAGAGCCCTATAGAGACCCCATAGAGAGACCCATAGGGGACCTAGAGAGACCCCATGGGGACCACATAGGGACACATAGAGCCCTATAGGGACCCCATAGAGAGACCCATAGAGCCTATAGGGACCCCATAGAGACCCACATAGAGCCCTATAGAGACCCCATACAGAGAGATACATAGGGGGATGTGGGGGGCGGGCCCCATAGGGATACATAGGGACCCCTAGAAACCCCATAGACCCCCCTTGAGTTCCACACCCCCCCCGAGACTCCCCCATAGACACTCACAGCACACCCCATAGATGCCCCCATAGACCCACCCCACAGCACCCCCCCATAGCACAACCCCATAGACCCCCCCAGCGCACCCCCCATAGCACAACCCCATAGATCCCCCCTACCACCCCCCCACAGCACACCCCCTAGACCCCCCACAGCACCCCCCCATAGCACACACCCCATAGACCCCCCCCAGCGCACCCCCCATAGCACAACCCCCTAGACCCCCCATAGCGCACACCCCATAGACCCCCCACAGCACCCCCCCATAGCACACACCCCATAGACCCCCCCAGCGCACCCCCATAGCACAACCCCCTAGACCCCCCCTAGTGCACACCCATAGACCCCCCCATAGCGCACACCCCATAGACCCCCCACCGCACCCCCCATAGCACCCCCCCATAGCGCACACCCCATAGACCCCCCACAGCACCTCCCCATAGACCCCCCATAGCACACCCCATAGACCCCCCCCAGCGCACCCCCCATAGCACCCCCCCATAGCGCACACCCCATAGACCCCCCATAGACCCCCCCCAGCGCACCCCCCCATAGCACAACCCCCTAGACCCCCATAGCGCACACCCCATAGACCCCCCACAGCACACCCCATAGCACAACCCCATAGATCCCCCCTACCACCCCCCCACAGCACACCCCATAGACCCCCATAGCACCCCCCCATAGCGCACACCCCATAGACCCCCCATAGCACCCCCCATAGACCCCCCATAGCGCACACCCCATAGACCCCCCACAGCACACCCCATAGCACCCCCCATAGCGCCCCCACCTGTCCACGAAGAGCACGAGGAGCTCCCCCCTCGCCTTCAGGGGTTCCAGCGCCTCCTTGAGCCACCGAACCTTCTGCCCCCCCCCCACCGTGTGGGCCACGTCCCCCCCCCGCCATTCCTGACCCATTCCCAGCGTCTGGAACGGGAGCAAACGGGGGGGGGGGGGGAGCGATAATGAGGGGACACCGCCATCAAGACCTGCCCCCCCCTTTCCTATTGGTTCCTTCCACCCCCCCCTTAGCTGCCCATTGGGGTCCCCCCCCTTTATGGGGTCCCCCTCCCATTGTGTCCCCCCCCCATTGGTTCCTCCCACATTGGTCCCCCCCATTGCTTCCCCCCCCCGGTTCCCATTGGTCCCCCCCCTTATTGGGTCCCCCTTTTCTCCCCCCATTGGTCACCCCCTCTGTTAGGTTCCCTCTCATTGAGCCCCCCATAGGTTCCCCCCTCTATTGGTTTGGTTCCTCCCCCATTGGTCCCCCCCCTTATTGGGTCCCCCATTGCTTCCCCCCCCCCCCCCATTGCTTCCCCCCCCCCCCATTGGTCCATCCCTCTGTTGTGTTCCCCCCCTCTATTGATTCCCCCCCCATTGCTCCTCCCCCCCATTGGTCCACCCCTCTGTTGTGTTCCCCCCCAAAGGGTCCCCCCCCTCTATTGGGTCCCCCCCTTATTGGGTCCCCCCATTGCCCCCCCCCCCGCCCCTTGGTTCCCCCCCCCCCCCCATTGGTCCATCCCTCTGTTGTGTTCCCCCCCTCTATTGGTTCCTCCCCACTGGGTTCCCATGCCATAAGCCCCCCCACAATGGGGTCTCCCTCCCCATTGGTTCCTTTCTTCCCCCCCCCCCCCCCATTAAATTCCCCCTCCCATTGGGTGTCGCCCCCCCCCCCATTGGTTCCTTCCTATTGGTTCCACCATCTATTGGGTCCCCCATTGGTTTCCCCCCCCATTGGGTTCCGCCATTTTGTTCCCGTCCCCATTGGGTCCCCCTCTATTGTGTTCCCCCCTCTATTGGGTCCTCCCATTGGTCCCCCTCTCTATTGGATCCCTCCCCATTGGTTCCCCCTCATTGGACCCACCCCCCCATTGGTTCCCCCCCATTGGACCCACCCCCCCATTGGTTCCCCCCTCTATTGGGTCCCTCCCCATTGGTTCCCCCCCCCCCGCCATTGGTCCCCCCCTCATTGAGTCCCCCCATTGCGTTCCCTTCCCATATGGGTCCCCCCTCTTATTGATTCCTCCTCCCATTGGGCCCCCTCTATTGGTTCCTCCCCCATTGGTTCCCCCCCTCCCATTGGGTCCCGTTCCCCCCATTGGGTTCCACCCCTTTATTGGGTCCCCACATTGGTTCCACCCCATTGGTCCCCCCTCTATTGGTTCACCCCATTGGTCCCCCCCATTGGGTTCCCATCCCCATTGGTTCCCCCCCATTGGTCCCCCCTCTATTGGTTCACCCCATTGGTCCCCCCCATTGGGTTCCCATCCCCATTGGTTCCCCCCATTGGTACTCCTCTATTGGTTTACCTCATTGGTCCCCCATTGGGTTCCCATCCCCATTGGTTCCCCCCCATTGGTTCCCCCCCCTCCATTGGGTTCCCTTCCCCATTGGTCACCCCCTCTATTGGTTCCCCCTCCCATTGGTTCCCCCCCATTGGCTCCGCCCCCATTGGTGTCCCTTCCCCATTGGTCCCCTGCTCCATGGGTTTCCCCCATTGGTTCCTCTCCCCATTGGTTCCCCCCCATTGGCTCCGCCCCCATTGGCGTCCCTTCCCCATTGGTCCCCTGCTCCATGGGTTCCCCCCATTGGTTCCCCCCCTTTGGCTCCGCCCCCATTACTCCCCACCCCTTCACCCCTCCATTGGTCCCCTGCATTCCCGTCCCCCTCCCTCCCACTCTCCCCTCCATTAGTTCCGCCCCCATTCATTCCCAGCCCCCCACTTATGGGTCCGCCCCATAGCGCCCCCCCCCCCCCACCTTGACGCTGTAGTTGAAGCGCTGCGCCGAGCGCAGGAACCGCTCGTAGCCCTCCGTGGCCTCCGTGGCCACCGTCAGCACCAGGAGCTGCTCTGCCGGGGGCACAGGAGACCCATTGGGACCCATAGAGACCCATAGACACCCATGGGGACCCATAGAGACCCATTGGGACCCATAGAGACCCCATAGACACCCATTGGGACCCATAGAGACCCCATAGACACCCATGGGGACCCATAGACACCCACTGGGACCCATAGAGACCCCATAGACACCCATTGGGACCCATAGAGACCCCATAGACACCTACTGGGACCCCATAGAGACCCCATAGACACCCACTGGGACCCATAGAGACCCATAGAGAACCCATAGAGACCCCATAGACACCCATTGGGACTCATAGGGACCCCATAGACACCGATAGAGACCCCATTAGAGACCCATAGAGACCCCATAGACACCCATTGGGACTCATAGAGACCCCATAGACACCGATAGAGACCCCATAGACACCCATTGGGACCCATAGAGACCCATTCACCCCTGTTATGGCCCCATTGAGCTCATGGACCACCCATAGAGACCCCATAGAGCCCCATGGAGACCCCATAGACCACCACAGAACCCCATACAGACTCGAGAGAGACCCATAGAGCCCCATAACCACCATAGAGCCCCATAACCCCCCCATAGACACCCACAGAGACCTCTATAGACCCCCATAGATCCCCCTTTAGACTCCCTAGAGCCCCATAGAGACCACTAGACCCCATAGAAGCTTCATAAGCCCCATAGAGACCCCATAGACCCCACCAACCCCACCACAGACCACCCATAGACACCCCCAGAGATGCTTAGAGACCCCATAGTGAACTATAGACCCCCACAGAGCCCCATGGAGACCTCTATAGACCCCATAGACCCCATAGAGACCTCTGTAGACCCCCATAGAAACCCCACAGACCTGCCCATAGACACCCCATAGACCCCCCACATAGACCCCATAGAGACCTCTGTAGACCCCCATAGAAACCCCATAGACCCCCATACAGAACTATAGACCCCCCACAGACAACCCTAGAGCCCCATAGAGACCTCTAGAGACCCCATAGACCACTCATAGACCCCAGAGAGACCCATAAGAGACCTCTATAGACCCCATAGAAGCCCCATACAGCCACACAGACACCCCTAGAGCCCCATAGACCATAGAGACCTCTGTAGACCCCATAGAGACCCCACAGACACCCCTAGAGCCCCATAGACCCCACAGACACCCCTAGAGCCCCATAGACCACCCATAGACCCCATAGAGACCCTACAGACACCCCTAGAGCCCCATAGACCACCCACAGACCCCATAGAGACCTCTGTAGACCCCATAGAGACCTCATAGATGCCCCACAGACACTCCTAGAGCCCCATAGACCACCCATAGACCCCCAGAGACCTCTATAGACCCCACAGAAACCCCATAGACCCCCATAGAGAACTATAGACCCCCCACAGAGACCTCTAGAGACCCCATAGACGCCCCATAGACCACTCATAGACCCCAGAGAGACCCATAAGAGACCTCTATAGACCCCATAGAAACCCCATAGACCCCCATAGATTCCCCCCCATAGACCCCACAGAGACCCATAAGAGACCTCTATAGACCCCATAGACCCCCCCAGATCCCCCCCTCATAGACCCCACAGAGACCCATAAGAGATCTCTATAGACCCCATAGACCCCCCCCATAGACACCCCATAGACCCCCCCACAGACACCCCATAGACCCCCCCCATAGACACCCCATAGACCCCCCCCCCTCTCCGTCGCCCCCTACCGGGCCGGAGGTCCCCGAGGGCCGCGGGCGGCGGCAGCGCCAGGAGCAGGAGCAGCAGCGGGGCCATGGCGGGCACCGGGGCGGAGGGGCGGGGCCTGCGGACGGCGCCGGCCAATCAGGGGGCGGCTCACGGCGGCGCCCGCCCAATCGCGGCGCGTTGCCACGTTGGCTGGGGGGAGGAAGGGGCGGGGCAAGGGAAGGAAGGGGCGGGGCGACGATACCAAGATGGCGGCGCCACACTCAAGATGGCGGCGTCCGGGTCAAGATGGCGGCGCGGAGGCCTCCGGAACCATAGAGAAGGCGGCGGTTTGGCCTAGAGAGGCGCTGTGCCGCCAGCAATGGCGCTCCGTACGGGGCCCTATGGCTGCCGATGCCCTTCTCTATGGTCACAGGGCATCAAGTCCTCCAACCCCATAGAGTCTGACCCCCAACCCCACTGCAGGCCCCTCTAAGAGCCCTCCAAGAGACCATCGAGACGAAGACAGAGCGGCCCCCCCCCCTCCCTCCCTTCACAACCCCTCCTCTTCCCAGCCCAGGGGGATTTATGGGGCGGCGACACACTCAAGATGGCGGCGCCCCATGCATCACGGTGCCACACTCAACATGGCGGCGCCCTCGCAAGCTGACGGTGCCACACTCAACATGGCGGCTCCCGTCTTACGCTGGGGTGGGGGGAGCCACACTCAAGATGGCGGCGCCCGGCTCACCACGCTGCCACACTCAACATGGCGCCTCCCCACGCCTCACACCGGAAGCCCCCCTCCTCACCGGAAGCCCCAGCCTCCCAAACCGGAAGCCGCCTCAGCGATGGTGGAGAAGAAGCCTCCCGGTACCGCTCCCCTCCCGTCCCTTTTTCCCCCTTTTACCCCCTTTTCCACCCTTTTTCCCCCTTTCCCCCCGTTTTCCCCTCTTTTCTTCCCCCTTCCCCCCTTTTTCCGCCCTTTTTCCCCTTTCTCCCCCATTTTTCCCCCTTTTCCCTTCTTTTCCTCTTTTCCCCCCTTTTCACCCCCTTTTTCCACCCTTTTTCCCCCTTTCCCCCCGTTTTCCCCTCTTTCCCCCTTTTCTCCGCCCTTTCCCCCATTTTTCCCCCCTTTCCCCCCATTATTTCCCCCTTTCCCTCCCCTTTCCTCCCTTTTCCCCCTTCCTCCCCCTTTTCTCCTCTTTTTCCCCCTTTTTGCCCTTTCTCCCCCTTTTCTCCCCTTTTTTCTCCCCCCCCCCCCTTTCCCCCTTCCCCCTTTTTCCCCTTCTTTTCCCCCCTTTTCCCCCTTCCCCCTTTCGCCCCCTTTTTCCCATCCCCCCACTTTTCTTTCTTTCCCTTTTCCCCCTTTTCCCCCCTTCCCCCCTTTTTCCTCCCCTTTCCTCCCCTTTTCCCCCTTCTTTTCCCCCCTTTTCCCCCTTCCCCCCTTTCACCCCCTTTTTCCCTTCCCCCCCTTTTCCTTCTTTCCCCTTTTCCCCCCTTTTCCCCCCTTTTCCCCCCTTTCTCCCCCTTTCCCCCCATTTCCCCCCATTTCCTCCCTTTTCCCCCTTTCCTCCCCTTTTCCCCCTTCTTTTCCCCCTTTTCCCCCTTCCCCTTTTGCCCCCTTTTTCCCTTCCCCCATTGTTGCCCTTTTTTCCCCTCTTTTCTCCCCTTCCCCTCCTTTTCCCCCCCCTTCCCCCCCATTTCCTCCCTTTCCCCCCTTTTCCCCCTTCTTTTCCTCCCTTCCCCCCCGTTTCCCCCCGCTCACCGCCCCCGTTCCCCGCAGGCCGCCTCCCGGACGGGCCCCACGGCCGGGTTTTGGACCGGGCCGCCCGGCAGCGCCGCCTCCACCGCCAGCTCGAGGCCCTGGAGAACGACAACTTCGGCGACGACCCCCAGGCGGGGCTGCCCCGGCCCGGCAAGCGCCTCCCGCACTTCGCAGACACCGCCGAGACCGGTGCGGGCCTCTAGGGGGCTCTAGGGGAGCTCTATTGGGGCTCTGTGGGGCTCTATGGGGCTCTGTGGGGCTCTATTGGGTGTCTATGGGGATCTAGGGGTGTCTATGGGGCTCTATGGGGCTCTGTGGGGCTCTATTGGGTATCTAGGGGGCTCTATGGGTGTCTATGGGGCTCTGTGGGGCTCTATTCGGTGTCTATGGGGCTCTATTGGGTGTCTATGGGGCTCTGTGGGGCTCTATTCGGTGTCTATGGGGCTCTATTGGGTGTCTATGGGGCTCTAGGGGTGTCTATGGGGCTCTGTGGGGCTCTATTCGGTGTCTATGGGGCTCTGTGGGGCTCTATTGGGTGTCTATGGGGCTCTATTGGGTGTCTATGGGGCTCTAGGGGTGTCTATGGGGCTCTGTGGGGCTCTATTGGGTGTCTATGGGGCTCTAGGGGTGTCTATGGGGCTCTATGGGGCTCTGTGGGGCTCTATTGGGTGTCTATGGGGCTCTGTGGGGCTCTATTGGGTGTCTATGGGGCTCTATTGGGTGTCTATGGGGCTCTGTGGGGCTCTGTTGGGTGTGGGGCTCTGTTGGGTGTCTGTGGGGCTCTATTGGGTGTCTGTGGGGCTCTATTGGGTGTCTATGGGGCTCTATTGGGTGTCTATGGGGCTCTGGGGGGCTCTATTGGGTGTCTAGGGGGCTCTGGGGGGCTGTATTCCGTGTCTAGGGGGCTCTGGGGAGCTCTGTGGGTGTCTATGGGGCTCTGTGGGTGTCTATGGGGCTCTGTGGGTGTCTATGGGGCTCTATTGGGTGTCTAGGGGGCTCTGTTGGGTGTCTATGGGGCTCTGTTGGGTGTCTATGGGGCCCTATGGGTGTCTATGGGGCTCTATTGGGTGTCTAGGGGGCTCTGTTGGGCTGTATTCGGTATCTATGGGGCTCTAGGAGTCTCTATTGGGTGTCTATGGGGCTCTGTGAGTCTGTATTTGGTGTCTAGGGGCCCTATGGGGCTCTATTGGGTGTCTATGGGGCTCTATGGGGCTCTTTTGGGTGTCTATGAGGCTCTGTTGTGTGTCTGTGGGGCTCTATGGGGCTCTGTTGGGTGTCTATGGGGCTCTGGGGGTCTCTATTGGGTGTCTATGGGGCTCTGCTGGGTCTCTATTGGGTGCCTGTGTGGCTCTATGGGGTGTCTGGGGGCTATGGGGGGGCTAAGGGGGTCTATTGGACTTTGTGGGGGGTCTGTGGGTCTCCATGGGGCCTCTATGGGAGTCTATGTGGGGCTAAGGGGGGTCTGTGCGGGTCTGTGTTGGGGCTCTATGGGGGTCTGGGGGGCTCTATGGGTCTCTATGGGGGGGTCTGTGGGTCCCTATGGGGCTCTATGGGGTCCTTATGGGGCTATATGGGGGGCTCTGGGGTGTCTATGGGGGTCTGTGGGTGTCTATGGCGCATCTGTGGGGGTCTGTAGTTCTCTATGGGGATCTATGGGGGGCTGTGGGTCAGTGGGGTCCCTATGGAGTCTTGAGGGGGTCTCTGTGGGGTCTCTATGGGGCTCTGTGGGTCTCTATGGGTCTTAATGTCTCTCTATGGGGCGCTTGAGGCTCTCTGTGGGTTCCTGTTGGGTCCCTGTGTGGCTGAATCTCTCTCTATGGGGCCCGTGGGAGTCTCTATGGGTCACTGCAGCCCTATGGCCCCTATGCAATCTCTGGTTCCTATGGGTCCCTATATACCCCTTGTCGTCCCTATACATCCCTGTGTCTCGTATACATCCTTATGGCTCCTATGGGTCCCTATACATCCCTATGGGTTTATATGGGTCCCTATACATACCTATACGTTTGTATAGGACCTATACATCCCTATGGCCCCTGTGCATCTCTATGGGTCGCTATACATCCCTATGGGTCGCTATACATCCCTATGATATCTATACATTTATATAGGACCTATATATCCCTATGGGTCGCTATACATACCTATGGGTCCCTATACATACCTATACATTTGTATAGGACCTATACATCCCTATGGCCCCTATGCATCCCTATGGGTCCCTATACATACCTATACATTTGTATAGGACCTATACATCCCTATGGCCCCTATGCATCCCTATGGGTCCCTATGCATACCTATACATTTGTATAGGACCTATACATCCCTATGGCTCCCTATACATCCCTTGGCCTCTGTGCATCCCATATGGGTCTCTATCCATCCCTATGGTCCTTAGACAACCTTATGGCCCCTATGCATCCCTATGGTCGCTATGGGTCCCTATGGGTCCCTATGGGTCTCTATGGGTCGCTATGGGTCCCGTCCCTAGGGAAGAAGAAGAAGAAGACGCGTGGGGACCACTTCAAGCTCCGCTTCCGCAAGAACTTCCAGGCACTGCTGGAGGAGCAGGTGGGGGCTATGGGGGGGGCTATGGGGCTATGGGGGGGGCTATGGGGCTATGGGGGGGCTATGGGGCTATAGGGAGTCTATGGGGCTCCATTTTGGGTGACTTTGGGTCCGATTTGTTCTCATTTGACCCAGTTTTAGCTCATTTTTAGCCCGTATTTGCCCATTTTTGGCTCATTTTCCCTAGTTTTAGCTCCTTTCTGACCATTTTTGGCCCATTTTGGCCCATTTTTGGCTCCTTTCTGCCCAGTTTTGCCCATTTTTAGCTCTTTTTTGCACATATTTAGCTCCTTTGGCTCATTTTTTGCTCCTTTTGCCCCCTTTTTATCTCATTATACCCATTTTTAGCTCCTTTTTTTGCACGTTTTTGGCCCGTTTTGGCCCCTTTTGATCTCATTATATAACCATTTTTCGCTCCTTTTTCCCCATTTTCCCCTCCTTTTTCCCCATTTTCTCTCCTTTTCCCCCATTTTCCCCTCCTTTTTCCCCATTTTCCCCTCCTTTTCCCCCATTTTTTGCTTCTTTTTTCCCCATTTTTTGCTTCTTTTCCCCATTTTCTCTCCTTTTTCCCCATTTTCCCCTCCTTTTCCCCCATTTTCCCCTCCTTTTTCCCCATTTTCCCCTCCTTTTTCCCCATTTTCCCTCCTTTCCCCTCCTTTTTCCCTCCTTTTCCCATTTTTTGCTGCTTTTTCCCCATTTTTTGCTTCTTTTCCCCATTTTCCCCTTCTTTTTTCCCCATTTTCCCCTTCTTTTTCCCCATTTTCCCCTCCTTTTTCCCCATTTTCCCCTCCTTTTCCCCTCCTTTTCCCCCATTTTCCCCTCCTTTTCCCCATTTTCCCCTCCTTTTTCCCCATTTTCCCCTCCTTTTCCCCCATTTTCCCTCCTTTTCCCCCATTTTCCCTCCTTTTTCCCCATTTTCCCCTCCTTTTCCCCATTTTCCCCTCCTTTTTCCCCATTTTCCCCTCCTTTTTCCCCATTTTCCCCTCCTTTTCCCCATTTTCCCCTCCTTTTCCCCATTTTCCCCTCCTTTTTCCCCATTTTCTCTCATTTTTCCCCATTTTCCCCTCCTTTTTCCCCATTTTTTGCTTCTTTTCCCCCATTTTTGCTTCTTTTCCCCCATTTTCCCCTCCTTTTCCCCCATTTTCCCCTCCTTTTCCCCCATTTTCCCCTCCTTTTCCCCATTTCCCCTCCTTTTCCCCCATTTTCCCCTCCTTTTCCCCCATTTTCCCCTCCTTTTCCCCCATTTTCCCCCATTTCCCCCATTTTCCCCTCCTTTTTCCCCATTTTTTGCTCCTTTTCCCCATTTTCCCCTCCTTTTCCCCATTTTCCCCTCCTTTTTCCCCATTTTCTCTCATTTTTCCCCATTTTCCCCTCCTTTTTCCCCATTTTTTCTCCTTTTCCCCATTTTCCCCTCCTTTTTCCCCTCCTTTTCCCCCATTTTCCCCTCCTTTTCCCCCATTTTCCCCTCCTTTTCCCCCATTTTCCCCTCCTTTTCCCCATTTCCCCTCCTTTTCCCCCATTTTCCCCCATTTTCCCCCATTTTTTCTCCTTTTTCCCCCAATTTTTGCTCCTTTTTCCCCATTTTTTGCTCCTTTTTCCCCATTTTTTGCTCCTTTTTCCCCATTTTTTGCTCCTTTTTCCCCATTTTCCCCTCCTTGTTCCCCATTTTCCCCTCCTTGTTCCCCATTTTCCCCTCCTTTTTCCCCATTTTTTCTCCTTTTTCCCCCATTTTTTCTCCTTTTTCCCCAATTTTTGCTCCTTTTTCCCCATTTTCCTCTCCTTTTTCCCCATTTCCCCTCCTTTTTCCCCATTTTTCCCCCCTTTTCCCCCCCTCTTTCCCCGTTTCCTCCTCTTTCCTGCGCAGAACCTGAGCGCTGCCGAGGGCCCCACGTACGTGTCTGCGTGTGCGGGGCCCTCGCGCCGGCCCCAGCGCCACTTCTGCAGCGTCTGCGGCTTCCCCTCGGCCTACACCTGCGTGAGCTGTGGGGCCCGCTTCTGCTGCGCACGCTGCCTCGGCACCCACCAGGACACGCGGTAACGGGGGGGGAACACATGGGAGAACGTGGGATAACGTGGGGAGAACATGGGGGAATGCATGGGATAACATGGGGAGAACATGGGGAGAATGCATGGGATAACGTGGGGAGAACATGGGGATAACGTGGGGAGAACATGGGGGGAATGCATGGGATAACATGGGGAGAACATGGGGGGAACGTGGGGGATAAAATGGGGAGAACATGGGGGGAATGCATGGGATAACATGGGAGAACATGGGGACAACATGGGGAGAACGTGGGGGGAATGCATGGGATAACGTGGGGAGAACATGGGGACAACATGGGGAGAACGTGGGGAGAACACGGGGGGAATGCATGGGAGAACGTGGGATAACGTGGGGGAATGCATGGGATAACATGGGGACAACGTGGGGAGAACATGGGGAGAACATGGGGAGAATGCATGGGATAACGTGGGGAGAACATGGGGCTAACATGGGGAGAACATGGGGGGAATTCATGGGATAACATGGGGAGAACGTGGGGAGAACATGGGGGGAATACATGGGAGAACATGGGGGTAACATGGGGAGAACATGGGGGTAACGTGGGGGTAACATGGGGAGAATGCATGGGATAACATGGGGAGAACATGGGGGTAACATGGGGAGAACATGGGGGTAACATGGGGAGAACATGGGGGGAATACATGGGAGAACATGGGGGTAACATGGGGAGAACATGGGGGTAACGTGGGGGTAACGGGGGGAATTCATGGGATAACATGGGGGGAACATGGGAGAACATGGGGAGAACATGGGGGGAATTCATGGGATAACATGGGGAGAACATGGGAGTAACATGGGTATAACATGGGGAGAATGCATGGGATAACATGGGGAGAACATGGGGGGAATTCATGGGATAACATGGGAGAACATGGGGATAACGTGGGGAGAACATGGGGGGAATGCATGGGAGAACATGGGGGGAATTCATGGGATAACATGGGGGAACGTGGGATAACGGGGTAACATGGGGAGAATACATGGGGGAACATGGGGAGAACATGGGGGGAATTCATGGGATAATATGGGGGAATTCATGGGATAACATGGGGAGAGCATGGGATAACGTGGGGGTAACATGGGGAGAATTCATGGGATAACATGGGGGGAACATGGGGACAACATGGGGAGAACATGGGAGTAACGTGGGGGTAATATGGGGAGAACAGGGAGAATGCATGGGATAACATGGGGGGAACGTGGGGGAATACATGGGGGAACATGGGGGTAACACGTATAGAACGGGGGGTAACATGGGGGGAACATGGGGGTAATACATGGGATAACATGGGGGGACTTCATGGGATAACATGGGGAGAACATGGGGGGAATACATGGGATAACATGGGGATAACACGGGAATAACACGGGATAACGCTCTATGGGATCCTGGCCTGTGCTGACGTGAACCCTCCCCCCCCCCATCTCCCCCCAGCTGCCTCAAATGGACGGTGTGAGATGACGTCACCCACCCCCCCCCGTGATGACGTCACCCCCCCATCCCCGATGACGTCATCCCCACGACGGCGCCGCCACCCGGAGCCCCCGTTTTGGGGTCGAAACCCGTGGTTTTGGGGCCAAAAAAAGGCAACAAAGAGATTTGGGTGAATTCTTGGTGTCTATGCTTTAAATGGGGGGGGAAGGGGGGGAGGAACCCCTTTAAATGGGGACGGGGCCCCTTTAAATGGGGGGGGGGGACCACAGAGGGCGACGGAGCCGTTGCCCCTTTAAGAGCGGCCGCCCAAGATGGCCGCTGCCATCGAGCGTCGATCCAACATGGCCGCCGCCAGCGGGCTCTCTGCGCGTCGCCTTCCTGTGACGTCACTGGAGGGGTGGGGGGACGTCGACCAATCAGAGCGGAGCCGTCGCTGTCCCTGCAAGGGGTTGGGGGCGCCGCTAGGGGGCGCTCTAGGCGGTTGTCTATGGGGGGGTGCTCTAGGCCCTGATCTCTATGGTCTTGGAGGACTCTATGCTCTATGACCATAGAGAGGGCTCCATGGTGGGATAGAGCGGCCTTGGAGGACCATAGAGAAGGGCTCTGTTGGGATAGAGCGGCCACCTTGGAGCAGCTCTCTATGGTCTTGGAGGACTCTATGGCCTATAACCATAGAGAGGGCGCCGTGGTGGGATAGAGCGGCCTTGGAGGACCATAGAGAAGGGCCCTATTTGGGGATAAAGCGGCCATCTTGGAGCTGCTCTCTATGGTCTTGGAGGACTCTATGCCCTATAACCATAGAGAGGGCTCCATGGTGGGATAGAGCGGCCTTGGAGGACCATAGAGAAGGGCTATGTGTTGGGATAGAGCGGCCACCTTGGAGCAGCTCTCTATGGTCCTGGAGGACTCCGTAAGTCCTCCAAGGAGCCATTGACCTCTATGGGCAGCTGGAGGGGGCGGAACCTATTGGAGGGGGCGGAGCCTGTTGGGAGGGGTGGGAGCCAATGGGAGGGGAGGGGGCGTGGCCTCACCTGCCTTATTTGGGCACCTGCCCCGGCCGCGCCTTCTCCAGCTTCCTCCTGCGCTCGGCGGGGATCTCGTCCAGGCTGATGCCGTGGTTGCTGGCGCTGGGGGGCGGAGGCAATGGGGCGCTATGGGGCGGGCCTGAGCCCCGCCTTCAGCCCCATAGACCCCCATGGACACCCCATAGACACCTGTGTCCCTATGGGGGCCCCGATATCCGCCCCAAAGGTCCCCATATCCGCCCCATAGATCCCAATGTTCACCCCATAGACCCCCATATCCCCCCCATAGAACCCCATATCCATCCCATAGACCCAATATCCCCCCCAAAGACCCCCATATCCACCCCATAGACCCCAATACCCCCCCATAGACCCCAATACCCCCCCATAGACCCCCATATCCACCCCATAGACCCCAATACCCCCCCATAGACCCCAATACCCCCCCATAGACCCCCATATCCACCCCATAGACCCCAATACCCCCCCATAGACCCCAATACCCCCCCATAGACCCCCATATCCACCCCATAGACCCCCATATCCGCCCCATAGACCCCCATACCCCCCCATAGACCCCAATACCCCCCCATAGACCCCCATACCCCCCCCATAGACCCCCATATCCACCCCATAGACCCCAATACCCCCCCATAGACCCCCATATCCACCCCATAGACCCCAATACCCCCCCATAGACCCCCATATCCACCCCATAGACCCCAATACCCCCCCATAGACCCCCATATCCACCCCATAGACCCCAATACCCCCCCATAGACCCCAATACCCCCCCATAGACCCCCATATCCACCCCATAGACCCCCATATCCGCCCCATAGACCCCCATACCCCCCCATAGACCCCAATACCCCCCCATAGACCCCCATACCCCCCCCATAGACCCCCATATCCACCCCATAGACCCCAATACCCCCCCATAGACCCCCATATCCACCCCATAGACCCCAATACCCCCCCATAGACCCCCATATCCACCCCATAGACCCCAATACCCCCCCATAGACCCCCATATCCACCCCATAGACCCCCATATCCGCCCCATAGACCCCCATACCCCCCCATAGACCCCAATACCCCCCATAGACCCCCATACCCCCCCATAGACCCCCATATCCACCCCATAGACCCCAATACCCCCCCATAGACCCCCATATCCACCCCATAGACCCCAATACCCCCCCATAGACCCCCATATCCACCCCATAGACCCCAATACCCCCCCATAGACCCCCATATCCACCCCATAGACCCCAATACCCCCCCATAGACCCCCATATCCACCCCATAGACCCCAATACCCCCCCATAGACCCCCATATCCACCCCATAGGCCCCCATATCCACCCCATAGACCCCCATATCCACCCCATAGACCCCAATACCCCCCCCATAGACCCCCATATCCACCCCATAGACCCCAATACCCCCCCATAGACCCCCATATCCACCCCATAGGCCCCCATATCCACCCCATAGACCCCCATATCCACCCCATAGACCCCAATACCCCCCCCATAGGGCCCCCCCCTTTGGTCTCACCCAGGCAGGAGGTCGGGGGGGGTGGGGATGGGTTTGGTGAAGCCCTCGCGTCCAACCAGCCAATAGGTGTCCTCCACCCCCTTCCCCTGGGGGGGGGGCAATGGGGGTCAATGGGGGTAATGGGGGTCAATGGGACAATGGGGGTAATGGGGGTCAATGGGACAATGGGGGGCAATGGGGCAATGGGGGTAATGGGGGTCAATGGGGGTAATGGAGGCAATGGGGGTCAATGGGGGTAAAGGGGGGAATGGGGGCAATGGGGGCAATGGGGGTAATGGGGGTCAATGAGGGGTAATGAGGGCAATGAGGGTCAATGGGAGCAATGGAGGCAATGGGGGTCAATGGGGTAATGGGGGTCAATGGGGGGCAATGGGGGTCAATGGGGGCCATGAGGGTCAATGGGAGCAATGGAGGCAATGGGGGTCAATGGGGGGTAATGGGGGTAATGGGGGTCAATGGGGGTAATGGGGTAATGGAGGTCAATGTGAGCAATGGGGGTCAATGGGGGTCAATGGGGGTAATAGGAGTCAACATATAAGGGGCAATAGGGGTCAATGGGGCAAGAGGAACCAATGGGGGCAATGAGGCCTCAATGGGGGCAATAAGGCCTCAATGGGGGTGATAAGGGCTCAATGGGGCAATAGGGGTCAATGGGGGTGATAAGGACTCAATGGGGCACTAAGGAGTCAATGGGGCAATAAGGAGTCAATGGGGCACTAAGGAGTCAATGGGATCCCTCAATGGCCGAGGGGCTCCAATGAAGGAGCCAGGGGGCTGCTTATGGGGCACTTGGGGGGCCCTTGGGGGGCACTTATGGGGCACTTACGGGTCCCTTGGGGGGCACTTGTGGGTCACTTACGGGTCCCTTGGGGGGCACTTCGAGGTCACTTATGGGGCATTTGGGGTGCACTTGTGGGGCACTTGTGGGGCACTTATGGGTCCCTTGGGGGCACTTCGAGGTCACTTATGGGGCACTTGGGGGGCACTTGTGGGGCACTTGGGGGTCACTTATGGGTCCCTTGGGGGGCACTTGGAGGTCACTTATGGGGCATTTGGGGTGCACTTGTGGGGCACTTGTGGGTCACCTATGGGTCCCTTGGGGGGCACTTGGAGGTCACTTATGGGGCACTTGGGGGGCACTTGTGGGGCACTTGGGGGTCACTTATGGGTCCCTTGGGGAGCACTTGGAGGTCACTTATGGGGCACTTGGGGGGCACTTGTGGGGCACTTGTGGGGCACTTATGGGTCCCTTGGGGGGCACTTCGAGGTCACTTATGGGGCATTTGGGGTGCACTTGTGGGGCACTTATGGGTCACCTATGGGTCCCTTGGGGGGCACTTGGAGGTCACTTATGGGGCACTTGGGGTGCACTTGTGGGGCCCTTGTGGGGCACTTGTGGGGCACTTGTGGGGCACTTATGGGTCCCTTGGGGGGCACTTCGAGGTCACTTATGGGGCATTTGGGGTGCACTTGTGGGTCCCTTGGGGGGCACTTATGGGTCCCTTGGGGGGCACTTCGAGGTCACTTATGGGGCATTTGGGGTGCACTTGTGGGGCACTTGGGGTGCACTTATGGGTCCCTTGGGGGGCACTTCGAGGTCACTTATGGGGCATTTGGGGTGCACTTATGGGGCACTTGTGGGGCACTTATGGGTCCCTTGGGGGGCACTTGGAGGTCACTTATGGGGCCCTTGGGGTGCACTTGTGGGGCCCTTGTGGGGCACTTGTGGGGCACTTGTGGGTCACCTATGGGTCCCTTGGGGGGCACTTGGAGGTCACTTATGGGGCATTTGGGGTGCACTTGTGGGGCACTTGTGGGGCACTTGTGGGGCACTTGGGGGGCACTTATGGGTCCCTTGGGGGGCACTTCGAGGTCACTTATGGGGCACTTGGGGTGCACTTGTGGGGCACTTGTGGGGCACTTGGGGGGCACTTATGGGTCCCTTGGGGGGCACTTGGAGGTCACTTATGGGGCATTTGGGGTGCACTTGTGGGGCACTTGTGGGGCACTTATGGGTCCCTTGGGGGCACTTCGAGGTCACTTATGGGGCACTTGGGGGGCACTTGTGGGGCACTTGGGGGTCACTTATGGGTCCCTTGGGGGGCACTTGGAGGTCACTTATGGGGCACTTGGGGTGCACTTGTGGGGCCCTTGTGGGGCACTTGTGGGTCACCTATGGGTCCCTTGGGGGGCACTTGGAGGTCACTTATGGGGCACTTGGGGGGCACTTGTGGGGCACTTGGGGTGCACTTGTGGGGCACCTATGGGTCCCTTGGGGGGCACTTGGAGGTCACTTATGGGGCCCTTGGGGGGCACTTGTGGGGCACTTGGGGTGCACTTGTGGGGCACTTATGGGGCACTTGGGGGTCACCTTGAGCTCGGTCTTGCCCCTGATGTCCAGCTTGAAGCCCTCCTGCAGCGCGTGCAAGATGGCGACGGTGCGGGCGTTCACATGGATCCGATAGGCTGTGGGGACAGTGACGTCATCGCGGGGCCCCTCCCCCCCTGCCCCACAGCCCCTATGGGGGCCCCATTGGTGGCCCCATTGATGGGGGGATGTGGGGCAGGGACGCTTGTGTGGGGCAGGGGCGTGCGTGTGTGGGGCAGGGATGTGTATGTGGGGCAGGGATACGTATGTGGGGCAGGGATACGCGTGTGGGGTAGGGACCCGCGTGTGTGGGGCTGGGACCCGCGTGTGTGGGGCAGGGACCCATATGTGGGGCACGAATACATATATGGGGCAGGGACCCACATGTGTGGGGCCGGGATGCACATGTGGGGCAGGGGCACGTGTGTGTGTGTGACAGGGACCTATGTGTGTGGGGCAGGGACGCATATGTGTAGGGCAGGGGCATGCGTGTGTGGGGCAGGGATGCATATGTGGAGCAGGGACCCATATGTGGGGCGGGGACACGCATGTGTGGGGCAGGGACCCACGTGTGTGGGGCCGGGATGCACATGTGGGGCAGGGGCATGTGTGTGTGTGTGACAGGGACCCATGTGTGTGGGGCAGGCATGCATATGTGTAGGGCAGGGGCATGCGTGTGTGGGGCAGGGACGCATATGTGGAGCAGGGACCCATATGTGGGGCGGGGACATGCATGTGTGGGGCAGGGACCCACGTGTGTGGGGCAGGGATGCACATGTGGGGCAGGGGCACGTGTGTGTGTGTGACAGGGACCTATGTGTGTGGGGCAGGGACGCATATGTGTAGGGCAGGGGCATGCGTGTGTGGGGCAGGGACGCATATGTGGAGCAGGGACCCATATGTGGGGTGGGGACACGCATGTGTGGGGCAGGGACCCACGTGTGTGGGGCAGGGATGCACATGTGGGGCAGGGACCCATGTGTGGGGCAGGGACCCATGTGTGGGGCTGGGACCCCCACGTGTGGGGCACTCACGGAGGCCGGTGGACTCCATGCGCGAGGCCGTGTTGACGGTGTCACCAAAGAGGCAGTAGCGGGGCATGGTGAGGCCCACGACGCCGGCGACGCAGGGGCCTATGGGGTGGGCAAGGGGGGAAGGTCAATGGGGGGTGGGCAACGGGGGATGGGCAATGGGAGATGGTCAATGGGAGAAGGTCAATGGTCAACAGGTGATGGGCAATGGGCAATGGGTGATGGTCAATGGGAGAAGGTCAATGGGAGAAGGTCAATGGTCGACAGGTGATGGTCAATGGGAAAAGGTCAATGGGAGATGGTCAATGGTCAATGGGAGAAGGTCAATGGTCAGCAGGTGATGGTCAATGGGCAATGGGTGATGGTCAATGGGAGAAGGTCAATGGGAGATGGTCAATGGTCAATGGGTGATGGTCAATGGGAGATGGTCAATGGGAGATGGTCAATGGTCGACAGGTGATGGTCAATGGGAAAAGGTCAATGGGAGATGGTCAATGGGTGATGGTCAATGGTCAACGGTCAACGGGTGATGGTCAATGGGAGAAGGTCAATGGTCAACGGGTGATGGTCAATGGTCAATGGGAGATGGTCAATGGGAGATGGTCAATGGGAGATGGTCAACAGGTGATGGTCAATGGTCAATGGGTGATGGTCAATGGGTGATGGTCAATGGTCAATGGGTGATGGTCAATGGGAGAAGGTCAATGGGAGAAGGTCAATGGTCAATGGGAAATGGGTGATTGTCAATGGGTGATGGTCAATGGGTGATGGTCAATGGGTGATGGTCAATGGGAGATGGTCAATGGGTGATGGTCAATGGGAGGTGGTCAATGGTCAGTGGGTGATGGGCAATGGGCAATGGGTGATGGTCAACGGGTGGTGGTCAATGGGAGATGGTCAATGGGCAATGGGTGGTGGGTGGTGGTCAATGGGTGGTGGTCAATGGGAGATGGTCGATGGTCAATGGGTGATAGGCAATGGGCAATGGTCAATGGGTGATAGGCAATGGGCAATGGTCAATGGGAGATGGTCAATGGTCAATGGGTGATAGGCAACGGGTAATGGTCAACGGGAGATGGTCAATGGTCAATGGGTGATAGGCAACGGGTAATGGTCAATGGGAGATGGTCGATGGTCAATGGGTGATGGTCAACAGATGATGCTCAATGGGAGATGGTCAATGGTCAATGGGTGATAGGCAATGGGCAATGGTCAATGGGAGATGGTCAATGGTCAATGGGTGATAGGCAACAGGCAATGGTCAACGGGAGATGGTCAATGGTCAATGGGTGATAGGCAACGGGTAATGGTCAATGGGAGATGGTCGATGGTCAATGGGTGATGGTCAACAGATGATGCTCAATGGGAGATGGTCAATGGTCAATGGGTGATAGGCAATGGGCAATGGTCAACAGGAGATGGTCAATGGTCAATGGGTGATAGGCAACAGGCAATGGTCAATGGGAGATGGTCAATGGTCAATGGGTGATAGGCAACGGGTAATGGTCAATGGGAGATGGTCGATGGTCAATGGGTGATGGTCAACAGATGATGCTCAATGGGAGATGGTCAATGGTCAATGGGTGATAGGCAACGGGCAATGGTCAATGGGAGATGGTCAATTGAAGGCACCCAACGGCGGACACCCAACGGCAGACACCCAATGGAAGACACCCAATGGAAGACACCCAACGGAAGACACCCAACAGCAGACACCCAACGGCAGACACCCAACGGAAGACACCCAACGGCAGACACCCAACGGCAGACACCCAACGGAAGACACCCCTATCCCCTCCATGGCACCCAATGGAAGACGCCCCACGGCCCCGCGCTCACCCGAGTGGAGGCCGATGCGGATGCGCACGGGCACCTCGGGCATGTGGCGCATCTTGAAGGTGCCCACGGAGCTGAGGATGTCCAACGCCATGTTGGCGATCTCCCCCGCGTGCCGGTTCCCGTTGCGCTTGGGCAGCCCCGACGCCACCATGTAGGCGTCGCCGATGGTCTCCACCTAGAGGAGGATGTGGGGCACGGCCATAGGCACCCAATGGGGTGGGGGGTGTGGACCCTATGGGAGGAGGTGGTGGTGGTGGTGGTGGTGGGGATGGGGAACTTGGTGGGATGCTATAGGGAGGTATATGGCTGGTGGGGACCCATAGGGTTATATGGGGCTGGTGGAACTCCATAGGGAGATATGGGACTCTGTAGGGAGAGAGGGGGCTGGTGGGACTCTATAGGGTCATATGGGGCTGGTAGAACTCCCTAGGGAGATATGGGACTCTGTAGGGAGATAGGGGGCTGGTGGGACTCCATAGACACATATGGGGCTGGTAGAACTCCCTAGGGAGATATGGGACTCTGTAGGGAGGTAGGGGGCTGGTGGGACTCTATAGGGTCATAGGGGGCTGGTAGGAAACTATATGGAGATAAGGGGTTCCATAGAGAGATATGGGGCTGGTGGGACTCTGTAAGGACGTATGGGACTCTATAGGGAGATATAGGGCTGGTGGGACTCCGTAGGGACATATGGGGCTGGTAGAACTCTATAGGGAGATATGGGAGTCCATGCTAACATAGGGAGCTGGTAGAACTCCATAAGCACATGTGGGGCTGGTAGAACTCCATAAGGACATGTGGGGCTGGTAGAACTCCATATGGAGATATGGGACTCCATAGGGAGATATGGGACTCCATAGGGAGTTATGGGGCTGGTAGACCTCCATATGAAGATATAGGACTCCATATGGAGATATGGGACTCCATAGGGAGATATGGGACTCCATAGGGAGTTATGGGGCTGGTAGACCTCCATATAAAGATATAGGACTCCATATGGAGATATGGGACTCCATAGGGAGATATGGGACTCCATAGGGAGTTATGGGTCTGGTAGACCTCCATATGGAGATATAGGACTCCATATGGAGATATGGGACTCCATAGGGAGATATGGGACTCCATAGGGAGATATGGGACTCCATAGGTAGTTATGGGTCTGGTAGACCTCCATATGGAGATATGGGACTCCATAGGGACATATGGGTCTGGTAGACCTCCATATGGAGATATGGGACTCCATAGGGACATATGGGTCTGGTAGACCTCCATATGGAGATACGGGACTCCATATGGAGATATGGGACTCCATAGGGAGATATGGGACTCCATAGGGAGTTATGGGGCTGGTAGACCTCCATATGAAGATATAGGACTCCATATGGAGATATGGGACTCCATAGGGAGATATGGGTCTGGTAGACCTCCACATGGAGATATGGGCCTTCATATGGCGATATGGGACTCCATAGGTAGTTATGGGTCTGCTAGACCTCCATTTAGACCCCTGGAACTGACGGGACACCATGGGGGAGCTGTGGGTCCCATTCCCCCCCCCACCCCCCCAACCTTGTAGACATCATGGGAGCCGATGATGGCGTCGAAGAGGGTGTAGAGGTCGTTGAGGAGATCGACCACCTCGATGGGCTCGCTCATGGCCGAGATGGTGGTGAAGCCCACGATGTCGCTGAAGTACAGCGTCACCTCCTCGAAGTACTCGGGCTCCACCGGCGTGCCCATCTTCAGCGCCTCGGCCACCGACCTGACGAGGAAATGGGGTGTGTGGGGGGGTGATGGGGGGCGATGGGGGGCGATGGGGGGCGATGGGAGTCAATGGGGGGCAATGGGAGTCAATGGGGGGCAATGGGAGTCAATGGGGGGCAATGGGGGGCAATGGGGGGCAATGGGGGGCAATGGGGGGCAATGGGAGTCAATGGGAGTCAATGGGGGTCAATGGGGGTCAATGGGGGGCAATGGGGGGCAATGGGGAGCAATGGGGGTCAATGGGGGTCAATGGGAGTCAATGGGGGGCAATGGGGGCAATGTGAGTCAATGTGAGTCAATGGGGGCAATGGGGGGCAATGGGGGGCAATGGGGGGCAATGGGAGTCAATGAGGGAAATGGGGGGCAATGGGAGTCAATGGGAGTCAATGGGGGTCAATGGGGATCAATGGGAGGCAATAGGGGGCAATGGGAGTCAATGGGGGGCAATGGGGTGCAATGGGGGGCAATGGGGGGCAATGGGAGTCAATGGAAGTCAATGGAAGTCAATGGGGGTCAATGGTGGTCAATGTCCCCTAACTCCCTATGGACCCCCCACCCCATAGCTCCCCATAGACACCCCCCCGAACCCCACCCCATAGCTCCCCATAGACCCCCCCAACAACCCAACCCCATAGACACCCCACCCCCATAGCTCCCCATAGACACCCCCTCAAACTCCGCCCCATAGCTCCCCATAGACACCCCCCCAAACTCCGCCCCATAGCTCCCCATAGACCCCCCCAACCCAACCCCATAGACACCCCACCCCCATAGCTCCCCATAGACACCCCCGCCCCCCAACAACCCAGCCCCATAGCTCCCTATGCACCCCTCCCAACCCAACCCCATAGACACCCCACCCCCATAGCTCCCCATAGACACCCCCCCCGAACCCCACACCCATAGCTCCCCATAGACCCCCCCAACAACCCAACCCCATAGACACCCCACCCCCATAGCTCCCCATAGACACCCCCCCAAACTCCGCCCCATAGCTCCCCATAGACACCCCCCCAAACTCTGCCCCATAGCTCCCCATAGACCCTCCCAACCCAACCCCATAGACACCCCACCCCCATAGCTCCCCATAGACACCCCCGCCCCCCAACAACCCCGCCCCATAGCTCCCTATGCACCCCTCCCAACCCAACCCCATAGACACCCCACCCCCATAGCTCCCCATAGACCCCCCCCAACAACCCAACCCCGTAGACACCCCACCCCCATAGCTCCCCATAGACACCCCCCCCGAACTCCGCCCCATAGCTCCTCATAGACCCCCCCAACCCAACCCCATAGACACCCCACCCCCATAGCTCCCCATAGACATCCCCCCCCGCCCCCCAACAACCCAGCCCCATAGCTCCCTATGCACCCCTCCCAACCCAACCCCATAGACACCCCACCCCCATAGCTCCCCATAGACCCCCCGCCAACAACCCAACCCCATAGACACCCCACCCCCATAGCTCCCCATAGACACCCCCCCCAAAATTCACCCCATAGCTCCCCATAGACCCCCCCAACCCAACCCCATAGACACCCCACCCCCATAGCTCCCCATAGACACCCCTCCCAACCCAGCCCCATAGACACCCCCGCCCCATAGCTCCCCATAGACACCCCCGCCCCCCAACACCCCCGCCCCATAGCCGCACGGGGGCAGCATCTGCGTGAGGAGCCGGTCTGTTTTCTGCTTCTCGAGCTCGAGCTCCTCGGTGCGCTCGCGGATGAGGTCCTCCAGGTTGCTCGAGTACTGCTCCAGCATGCGCAGCATGGAGTCGATCAGGTTCGTCTTCCGGCCCTTGTTGATGCCTTTGAACTGCCCAACAACGCCGCCTCCCATTGGCTCAGCGCCCTTGGGGTCCGCGACACCCCCCCCCCCCACCCAAACCGAACACCTTGCCCCATAGGAGTGGTTGGGCGGCGCGACGGAAGGCGCTCAAAGGGACGATGTTGGGTGGGTGGAAGCGTTGGGAAGGTCATGGAAGACCATTCAGGTCCGTGTTCGACCCCGTAGCCCCATATTGAGCCCATAGCCCCATATTGAGCCCATAGCCCCATATTGAGCCCATAGCCCCATAATTGGTCCCATTCGACCCCATAGGGGAGGTGGGGCGGAGCGATGCGGCGTGACGGAAGGCGCTCAAAGGGACGATGTTGGGTGGGTGGAAGCGTTGGGAAGGTCATGGATGACCATTCAGGTCCATGTTCGACCCCATAGCCCCATATTGAGCCCATAGCCCCATAATTGGTCCCATTCGACCCCATAGGGGATGTGGGGCAGAGCGGTGGGGGGCAACAGAAGGCGCCCAAAGAGGGGATGTTGGGTGGGTGGAAGCGTTGGGAAGGTCATGGATGACCATTCAGGTCCGTGTTCGACCCCATAGCCCCATATTGAGCCCATAGCCCCATATTGAGCCCATAGCCCCATAACTGGTCCCATTCGACCCCAGAGGGGATGTGGGGTGGAGCGACGCAGCGCGACGGAAGGCGCCCAAGGGGACGATGTTGTGTGGGTGGAAGCGTTGGGAAGGTCATGGAAGACCATTCAGGTCTGTGTTTGACCCCATAGCCCCATATTGAGCCCATAGCCCCATATTGAGCCCATAGCCCCATATTGAGCCCATAGCCCCATAACTGGTCCCATTCGACCCCATAGGGGAGGTGGGGCGGAGCGATGCGGCGTTACGGAAGGCACCCAAAGGGACGATGTTGGGTGGGTGGAAGCGTTGGGAAGGTCATGGATGACCATTCAGGTCCATGTTTGACCCCATAGCCCCATATTGAGCCCATAGCCCCATATTGAGCCCATAGCCCCATATTGAGCCCATAGCCCCATAACTGCTCCACCACCCCATATTGCTCCCATCCAACCCTTTACTGCTCCCACCACCCCATAGTGGCCCCATAGCCCCATAACTGCTCCAAATGCCCCCATATCGGTCCCATGGCCCCACCGCCCCCCATCTCGCCCCACATCGCCCCCACCTGGTCGAAGACCTGGTCGATGGTGGGCCTGCGCTCGGGCTGCTCGCTCCAGCACTGCTTCATCAGGTGAATGCACTCCAATGGGGCCTGGTCGGCCGACACGGCCGGGCGGCACAAGGGGGGCGGCTTCCTCACCTTCTCGATGATCTCTGGGGGGCAGCAATGGGGCAATGAGACCCCCAGGGGGGTCTAGGGGTGGTTATGGGGGTGCTGGAGGTGGTTATGGGGGTCTTAAAGCGGTTATGGGGGTCTTGGGGATGGTTATGGGGGTCTTGGAGGTGGTTATGGGGGTCTTGGGGTTGGTTATGGTTATTCTGGAGGTTGTTATGGGGGGTCCTAGAGGTAGTTATGGGGGTTCTGGAGGTGGTTATGGGGGTCTTGGGGATGGTTATGGTTATTCTGGGGGTGGTTATGGGGTTCCTGGAGGTGGTTATGGGGGTCCTGGAGGTGGTTATGGGGTTCTGGAGGTGGTTATGGGGGTTCTGGAGGTGGTTATGGGGTCCTGGAGGTGGTTATGGGGGTTCTGGATGTGGTTATGGGGCTCATGGTGGTGGTTATGGTTATCCTGGAGGTGGTTATGGGGTTCTGGAGGTGGTTATGGAGGTTCTGGAGGTGGTTATGGGGGTCTTGGGGGTGGTTATGGGGGTTCTGGGGGTGGTTATGGGGTTCTGGAGGTGGTTATGGGGGTCCTCGAGGTGGTTATGGTTATCCTGGAGGTGGTTATGGGGCTCATGGTCGTGGTTATGGTTATCCTGGAGGTGGTTATGGGGGTCTTGGGGGTGGTTATGGTTATTCTGGGGGTGGTTATGGGGTTCCTGGAGGTGGTTATGGGGGTCCTGGAGGTGGTTATGGGGTTCCTGGAGGTGGTTATGGGGGTCCTGGAGGTGGTTATGGGGGTCCTGGAGGTGGTTATGGGGTTCTGGAGGTGGTTATGGGGGTTCTGGAGGTGGTTATGGGGCCCTGGAGGTGGTTATGGGGGTTCTGGATGTGGTTATGGGGCTCATGGTGGTGGTTATGGTTATCCTGGAGGTGGTTATGATGTTCTGGAGGTGGTTATGGGGGTCTTGGGGGTGGTTATGGTTATTCTGGGGGTGGTTATGGGGTTCCTGGAGGTGGTTATGGGGGTCTTGGGGGTGGTTATGGTTATTCTGGAGGTTGTTATGGGGGATCCTAGAGGTAGTTATGGGGGTTCTGGAGGTGGTTATGGGGGTTCTGGAGGTGGTTATGGGGGTTCTGGGGGTGGTTATGGGGCTCATGGTGGTGGTTATGGTTATCCTGGAGGTTGTTATGGGGGTGCTGGAGGTGGTTATGGGGGTCTTAGAGGTGGTTATGGGGGTCCTGGAGGTGGTTATGGGGGTCTTGGGGGTGGTTATGGTTATTCTGGGGGTGGTTATGGGGCTCATGGTTGTGGTTATGGTTATCCTGGAGGTGGTTATGGGGCTCATGGTTGTGGTTATGGTTATCCTGGAGGTGGTTATGGGCCTCATGGTGGTGGTTATGGTTATCCTGAATGTGGTTATGGGGTTCTGGAGGTGGTTATGGCTATCCTGAATGTGGTTATGGGGTTCTGGAGGTGGTTATGGGCCTCGTGGTGGTGGTTATAGGTGTCCTGTAGGTGGTTATGGGGTTCCGGAGGTGGTTATGGTTATCCTTGTGCTTGCCATCCCCTGTAGATGCTTGCCTGCATCCCATAGGCGGACCAATGACCGCGTGCCCGGGGGGCTGCCCTATGGCTGGCCGCTATGGGGCCGGTACCTTCGGGAGGCAATCCCAGCATGCAATAGGGCCCGCTGCGGCAGATGACCTCCTGCATGATGATCCCGATCCCATAGACGTCCCCACGGAAGGAGCCGCGCCGCTCTAGGGCCTCGTCCCGCAGCAGCTCTGGGGCTGTCCATAGGCGCTCTATGGGGGGGGGGGGGACGGACACGGGACACAAGACCCCTTGAGGACCCCCCATTGGGTGATGGAAGAGCCTTCAAGAACCCCATTGGTTGGTAGAACATCCCCTTAGGACCCCATTGGGTGATGGAAGACCCCTTGAAGACCCCATTGGGTGGTGGAAGAGCCCCCAAGGACCCCATTGGGTGGTGGAAGAGCCCCCAAGGACCCCATTGGTTGGTAGAACATCCCCTTAAACCCCATTGGGTGGTGGAAGAGCCCTCAAGGACCCCATTGGTTGGTAGAACATCCCCTTAGACCCCATTGGGTGGTGGAAGACCCCTTGAAGACCCCATTGGGTGGTGGAAGAGCCCCCAAGGACCCCATTGGGTGATGGAAGAGCCTTCAAGAACCCCATTGGTTGGTAGAACATCCCCTTAGGACCCCATTGGGTGATGGAAGACCCCTTGAAGAGCCCATTGGGTGGTGGAAGAGCCCCCAAGGACCCCATTGGTTGGTAGAACATCCCCTTAGACCCCATTGGGTGGTGGAAGAGCCCTCAAGGACCCCATTGGTTGGTAGAACATCCTCTTAGACCCCATTGGGTGGTGGAAGAGCCCTTGAGGACCCCATTGGGTGATGGAAGAGCCTTCAAGAACCCCATTGGTTGGTAGAACATCCCCTTAGGACCCCATTGGGTGATGGAAGACCCCTTGAAGACCCCATTGGGTGGTGGAAGAGCCCCCAAGGACCCCATTGGTTGGTAGAACATCCCCTTAGACCCCATTGGGTGATGGAAGACCCCTTGAAGACCCCATTGGGTGGTGGAAGAGCCCCCAAGGACCCCATTGGTTGGTGGAACATCCCCTTAAACCCCATTGGGTGGTGGAAGACCCCTTTAGGACCCCATTGGGTGGTGGAAGACCCCTTGAAGACCCCATTGGGTGGTGGAAGAGCCCCCAAGGACCCCATTGGGTGGTGGAAGAGCATTCAAGAACACCATTGGTTGGTAGAACATCCCCTTAGGACCCCATTGGGTGATGGAAGACCCCTTGAAGACCCCATTGGGTGGTGGAAGAGCCCCCAAGGACCCCATTGGTTGGTAGAACATCCCCTTAGGACCCCATTGGGTGGTGGAAGACCGCTTTAGGACCCCATTGGTTGGTAGAACATCCCCTTAGACCCCATTGGGTGGTGGAAGGGCCCTTGAGGACCCCATTGGGTGGTGGAAGACCCCTTGAGGCCCCCATTGGTTGGTGGAAGACCCCTTTAGGACCCTATTGGGTGGTGGAAGAGCCCTCAAAGACCCCATTGGGTGGTGGAAGAGCCCTCAAGGACCCCATTGGGTGGTGGAAGGGCCCTTGAAGACCCCATTGGGTGGTGGAAGAGCCCTTGAGGACCCCATTGGGTGGTAGAAGAGCCCTCAAGGACCCCATTGGGTGGTGGAAGACCCCTCAAGGACCCCATTGGGTGGTGGAAGACCCCTTGAGGACCCCATTGGGTGGTAGAAGAGCCCTCAAGGACCCTATTGGGTGGTGAAAGACCCCTTGAGGACCCCATTGGGTGGTGAAAGACCCCTTGAGGACCCCATTGGGTGGCGGAAGAGCCCTGGAGGACCCCATTGGCTGGGGCTGGGCCCCGCCCTCACCCTGTGCTTGCAGAGGGGGGGTGGGGACCCGCTGGGCCTCCAGGAGCTCGTTGTAGCCGTGGTCGGTGACCTTGAGCACGAAGCGCCCGTCCACGACGCAGTTGCGGGACTTGAGGCGCCCATGGACGACGTCGCGGTGGTGGAGGTAGCGCACGCCCTGCGGGAGATGGGGCGGGCAATGGGGCGGGCAATGGGGCGGGAGATGGGGCGGGCAATGGGGCGGGCAATGGGGTAGGCAATGGGCAATGGAAGGGTCAGCGGGGTTGGCAATGGTCAACGGGATGGTCGAAGGGAGGGTCAATGGGGTGGTCAATGGGGCGGGCAATGGGCAATGGAAGGGTCAGCGGGGTTGGCAATGGTCAACGGGATGGTCGAAGGGAGGGTCAATGGGGTGGTCAATGGGGCGGGCAATGGGGTAGGCAATGGGCAATGGAAGGGTCAGCGGGGTTGGCAATGGTCAACGGGATGGTCGAAGGGAGGGGCAAGGGGGTGGTCAATGGGGCGGGCAATGGGGTAGGCAATGGGCAATGGAAGGGTCAGCGGGGTTTGCAATGGTCAACGGGATGGTCGAAGGGAGGGTCAATGGGGGGGTCAATGGGGCGGGCAATGGGGTGGGCAACGAGATGGGCAATGGGCAGTGGGGCAGGCAATGGGAGGGTCAGTGGGGTGGACAATGATCAGTGGGTTGGGTAATGGGCAATGGGGTAGGCAATGGTCAACGGGGTGATCAGTGGGAGGGTCAATGGGATGGTCAATGGGAGGGGCAATGGGGTGGGCAATGGGGTGGAGAACAACATGGGCAACAGCATGGTCAATGGGATGGGCAATGGTCAATGGGGTGGGCAATGGGGTCAGCAATGGGGTGGTCAGTGGGAGGGTCAATGGGATGGGCAATGGCATGGGCAATGGGCAATGGGATGGTCAATGGGCAATGGGATGCTCAGTGCTCAATGGTCAATGGCACGGTCAATGGGATGGTGAATGGGAGGGTCAATGGGATGGTCAATGGGATGGTCAATGGCATGGTCAATGGGGTGGTCAATGGGGTGGTCAATGGGGCAGTCAATGGGATGGTCAATGGGAGGGTCAACGGGGTGGTCAATGGGAGGGTCAATGGGAGGGGCAATGGGGCGGGCAATGGGATGGGCAATGGGAGGGTCAATGGAGTGGTCAATGGGAGGGTCAATGGGGTGGTCAATGGGAGGGTCAATGGGAGGGGCAATGGGGTGGGCAATGGGATGGGCAATGGGAGGGTCAATGGGGCGGTCAATGGCATGGTCAATGGGGTGGTCAATGGGAGGGGCAATGGGAGGGGCAATGGGGTGGGTAATGGGATGGGCAATGGGAGGGTCAATGGAGTGGTCAATGGGAGGGTCAATGGGATGGTCAATGGGATGGTCAATGGGGCAGTCAATGGCATGGTCAATGGGGTGGTCAATGGGATGGTCAATGCTCAATGCTCAATGGTATGGTCAATGGGATGGGCAATGGGAGGGTCAATGGGGTGGTCAATCGTCAATGGAGTGATCAACGCGATGCCCAATGCTCAACGGGGCGGTCAATGGGACGGCCAACGCGCAACGCGGGTGTAGGGTGTGAGGTGCGCGCGTGCGGGTCGTGGGGGGTGTGTGCACGTGTGGGGGCCACCTTGATGAGGTCGATGAGCAGGGAGGACTTGAACATCCAATCGAGCTTCATGTCCTCGTTGCGCAGGAGGTCCTCGAGGCTGCCCCGCGAGCAGTGCTCCGAGACGATGGCGAAGATGCCGCAGTCGTGGAAGAAGCCCAGGAAGAGGTTGACGTTCTCATGGCGCAGGTCCCGCAGCTGCGGGGGACCCATGGCAGGGGGGGGGACGGACACGACACACCATTGGCCATGGGGCAGCTCTTGGGGCCCCCCATGGCTTCCTATGGCCCCGCATTGGCTCCCTATGGCGTCCTATGGACCCATATTGGCTCCCTATGGTGTCCTATGGACCCATATTGGCTCCCTATGGCTTCCTATGGACCCACATTGGCTCCCTATAGCTTTCTGTGGACCCACATTGGCTCCCTATGGCTTCCTATGGACCCACATTGGCTCCCTATAGCTTCCTGTGGACCCACATTGGCTCCCTATGGCTTCCTATGGACCCACATTGGCCCCCTATGGCTTCCTGTGGACCCACATTGGCTCCCTATGGCTTCCTGTGGACCCACATTGGCTCCCTATGGCTTCCTGTGGACCCACATTGGCCCCCTATGGCTTCCTATGGACCCACATTGTCCCCCTTGGCTCCATGATGTCCTCATGACCCAATGTTGTCTCCATGACCCACAGATGTCCTCAATGACCCATTGATGTCCCCATGACCCCATGTTGTCCCCCATGACCCACTGATGTCCCCATGACCCACTGATGTCCCCCATGTCCCATTGATGTCCCCATGACCCATGGTTGTCCCCCATGTCCCATTGATGTCCCCATGACCCATGGTTGTCCCCCATGACCCATTGATGCCCCCATGACCCAATGTTGTCCCCCATGACCCATTGATGTCCCCATGACCCAATGTTGTCCCCCATGACCCAATGTTGTCCCCCATGACCCATTGATGCCCCCATGACCCATGGTTGTCCCTCATGACCCACTGATGTCCCCATGACCCAATGTTGTCCCCCATGACCCATTGATGTCCCCATGACCCATGGTTGTGCCCCATGTCCCATTAATGTCCCCATGACCCATGGTTGTCCCCCATGGCCCATTGATGTCCCCATGACCCAATGTTATCCCCCATGACCCATTGATGTCCCCATGACCCATGGTTGTCCCCCATGACCCATTGATGTCCCCATGACCCAATGTTATCCCCCATGACCCATTGATGCCCCCATGACCCATGGTTGTCCCTCATGACCCATTGATGTCCCCATGACCCAATGTTGTCCCCCATGACCCATTGATGTCCCCATGACCCAATGTTGTCCCCCATGACCCATTGATGTCCCCATGACCCACTGATGTCCCCATGGCCCATTGATGTCCCCATGATCCATTGATGCCCCCATGACCCAATGTTGTCCCCCATGACCCATTGATGTCCCCATGACCCATTGATGTCCCCATGACCCAATGTTGTCCCCCATGACCCATTGATGCCCTCATGACCCAATGTTATCCCCCATGACCCATTGATGTCCCCATGACCCAATGTTATCCCCCATGATCCATTGATGTCCCCATGACCCAATGTTATCCCCCATGGTCCATTGATGTCCCCATGACCCATGGTTGTCCCCCATGACCCATTGATGCCCCCATGACCCATGGTTGTCCCTCATGACCCATTGATGTCCCCATGACCCAATGTTGTCCCCCATGACCCATTGATGTCCCCATGACCCATGGTTGTCCCCCATGGCCCATTGATGTCCCCATGACCCAATGTTATCCCCCATGACCCATTGATGTCCCCATGACCCATGGTTGTCCCCCATGACCCATTGATGTCCCCATGACCCAATGTTATCCCCCATGACCCATTGATGCCCCCATGACCCATGGTTGTCCCTCATGACCCATTTATGTCCCCATGACCCAATGTTGTCCCCCATGACCCATTGATGTCCCCATGACCCATGGTTGTCCCCCATGACCCATTGATGCCCCCATGACCCAATGTTGTCCCCATGACCCATTGATGTCCCCATGACCCACTGATGTCCCTATGGCCCATTGATGTCCCCCATGATCCATTGATGCCCCCATGACCCAATGTTGTCCCCCATGACCCATTGATGTCCCCATGACCCATGGTTGTCCCCCATGTCCCATTGATGTCCCCATGACCCAATGTTGTGCCCCATGTCCCATTGATGTCCCCATGACCCATGGTTGTCCCCCATGGCCCATTGATGTCCCCCATGGCCCTCACCTTGCAGAAGGCCAACTTGGTGGCCGGTTTCACCTCCCTGTGCTCGTCGCCAGGGAACTTCTTCAGCCAGACCCAGTCACCCTGAGGGGCAAAGGGGGTGAGGACTGAGCCCCCCTGGGAGCAGCCCCACCCCGAGGTCCTGGGGGACACCGTGGGGGTGCCCCAACGTTGACTCAACCCATCTCAACCCAACTCAACTCGATTCAACCCGATTCAACCCAACTCAATGAACGCAACCCAACTGAAGTCAACCCAACTCATCTCACCTCAATGATCGCCGCTCAAACCCAAGCCAACTCAATGACCTCAACCCAACCCAACTCAACCCAATTCAACTCAACGCAACACAATGATCTTAACTCAACCCAACACAAGTCAATGAATTCAACCCAACCCAATCTGGCTCAACTCAACTCAATGATCTCCACTCAAACACAAGCCAACTCAACGATCTCAACACAAGCCAACTCAACCCAACCCAATTCAACTCAACGCAACTCAATGGTCTCAACTCAACTCAACCCAACTCAACTCAACCCAACACAACTCAATGAACTCAACCCAACCCAACTCAACCCAGTTCAACTCAACTCAATGATCTCCACTCCAACCCAAGACAACTCAGTGATCTCAACCCAACCCAATTCAATCCAGTTCAACTCAGCGCAACTCAATGATCTCAACTCAACCCAACTCAACCCAATTCAATCCAATTCAACTCAACCCAGCTCAGTTCAGCTCAACTCAATGATCTCCACTCAAAGCCAAGAGAACTCAACGATCTCAATACAGCCAAACTCAACTCAATCCGACTCAACTCAATTCAACTCAACCCAACTCGAGCCAATTCAATGACCTCAACTCAATCCAAACCAACCCAGCTCAACCAAATCCAATTCAACACCTTCAACTCAGCTGAACTCAACCCAATGAACTCAACTCATCCCAAGTCAACTCAACCCAACTCAATGACCTCAACCCAACTCAACGACTTCAACTAAACCCAACTCAACCCAACTCAATGACCTCAATTCAACTCAACCCAACTCAATGAACTCAACTCAACCCAACTCAATGAACTCAATTCAACCCAACTCAATGAACTCAACCCAACTCAACGAACTCAACCCAACTCAAGCCAACTCAATGACTTCAACCCAACTCAACTCAACCCAACCCAACTCAATGAACTAAACCCAACTCACCGACTACAACTCAACCCAACTCAACGAACTCAACCCAAATCAACCCAACTCAATGACTTCAACCCAACCCAAACCAACTCAATGACCTCAACCCAACCCAATCCAACTCAATGACCTCAACCCAACCCAATCCAACTCAATGACCTCAACCCAACCCAACCCAACTCAATGACTTCAACCCAACCCAAACCAACTCAATGACCTCAACCCAACCCAATCCAACTCAATGACCTCAACCCAACCCAACCCAACTCAATGACTTCAACCCAACCCAACCCAACTCAATGACTTCAACCCAACCCAAACCAACTCAATGACCTCAACCCAACCCAATCCAACTCAATGACCTCAACCCAACCCAACCCAACTCAATGACTTCAACCCAACCCAAACCAACTCAATGACTTCAACCCAACCCAAACCAACTCAATGACCTCAACCCAACCCAAACCAACTCAATGACCTCAACCCAACCCAACCCAACTCAATGACTTCAACCCAACCCAAACCAACTCAATGACTTCAACCCAACCCAAACCAACTCAATGACCTCAACCCAACCCAATCCAACTCAATGACCTCAACCCAACCCAATCCAACTCAATGACTTCAACCCAACCCAAACCAACTCAATGACTTCAACCCAACCCAAACCAACTCAATGACCTCAACCCAACCCAATCCAACTCAATGACCTCAACCCAACCCAATCCAACTCAATGACTTCAATCCAACCCAAACCAACTCAATGACCTCAACCCAACCCAAACCAACTCAATGACCTCAACCCAACCCAATCCAACTCAATGACCTCAACCCAACCCAATCCAACTCAATGACCTCAACCCAACCCAATCCAACTCAATGACCTCAACCCAACCCTCCACTGGAGATCCCTCTCCATCCCCAACCCCCCCCCCTTCCTTCTCTCCCCACTCATGCCCAGGGGAGGACACTGGGTGGTGGATCCAGGGTCTGGGATGGAGCAGGAGGACCACGTTGTGGGGGGGGGGGGGGGTCACCGGTGCCTCTTACCTGCACGGAGGCGACAAGGCCCTGCTGGTTAAACAAAAGGAGGAGCAAGGGGAGGTGGTTGTGGGCCCTCAGAGGCTCATCTCCCTGCGGGAAAGGGCAATCGTGACCCACGGCCCAACGTGCCCACCTATGGCCACCAACGGCCCCCAGCCCTCAAGCGGGATGAAGCTGCTCCAAAGGGGGGTCGAGGTGCCGGCGTCCCCTTCCTTCCTCATGGAGCCCTATGGAGGTGGCCTTGCCTTGTCGCCCCCGGTGGTGGCAATGGGGAGGTGGGGTGGGGGTGATGGGGCGGGCAAAGGGGACAATGGGGAGCAAGAAGGGGGGGGGGTGACCCAAGGGGAAGGGGACAAGGGGGAGTTCTCACCTCGGCGATGGCCACGTTGGTGGTGTCCGGGGTGGCGGCGGCGCTCTTGGTGCTCTTGTTGTCACCGCTGCTGGGGCCGGCGAGGCTGGTCCTGCTGCCATCGACCTGCATGGCGATGGGGGGTGTGGGGAGGGGGGTATGGGGTGTATGGGGTATGCAATATGGGGCATGGGGTGTGGGGTATGGGATATGGGGTGTGGGGTATGGGGTGCATGGGGTGTGGGATATGGGGTGTGGGGTGTGGGGTGTGGGATATGGGGTATGGGATATGGGGTGTATGGGGTATGGGATATGGGGTGTATGGGGTATGGGATATGGGGTGTGGGGTGTGGGGTATGGGGTGTGGGATATGGGGTGTATGGGGTATGGGATATGGGGTATGGGGTACGGGATATGGGATATGGGGTGTGGGGTGTGGGGTATGGGACATGGGGTATGGGATATGGGGTATGGGATATGGGGTGTGGGGTGTGGGGTATGGGATATGGGGTATGGAATATGGGGTATGGGGTACGGGATATGGGGTATGGGGTATGGGATATGGAATATGGGATATGGGGTGTGGGGTATGGGATATGGGGTGTGGGGTATGGGAAATGGGGCATGGAGTATGGGATATGGGGTATGGGATATGGGGATACGAGACATGGGGACACGTCACCCATCAGAGCACATCACCCACAGGGTCCCATGAAACCCATGGCTCTCCTCCCGAGCTCAAGCATCAGGGTCTCCTTCCCAGCCCCCCCATTGAGCACCACAGCCCCATTGGGGCCCCCTATGGGTCCCCCTATGGCACCTGCTTGCAGCTGTGGGTGTTGATGAAGGTCAGGTCGTCCATGGTGAGGATGATCTTGTTGGGGCCCTTCATGAGCTGGGCCTGTTGGATGCGGCGCCTGCATTGGATGGGACACGGAAGCTGCTGAGATGCCTCCATAGGGAGCCCCATAGCACCCATTGGAGCCCCGTAGCACCCATTGGAGCCCCATAGCACCCATTGGGGTGGTGGCACCCACCTGATGAAGCAGGCGAGGGCAGCGCCGGCCGCGGCCAGGGCGCAGATGAGGATCAACATGAGGAGGACAACGGTGGCGTCCAGCCCTATGGGAGAGAAAGGGGGTGAGGGCCTTCATCAAGGGCACCCATGGGCACCGATGGTCACCTATGGCTACCTATGGCCACCTATGATAAGCCATGGCCACCTATGGTCCACCTATGGCTACCTATGGCCACCTATGGCTACCTATGGTCACCTATGATAAGTCATGGCCACCTATGGTCCACCTATGGCTACCTATGGCCACCTATGATAAGCCATGGCCACCTATGGTCCACCTATGGCTACCTATGGTCACCTGTGGCCACCTATGGTCACCTATGGCCACCTCTAACCATGGTCACCCTTGGCCACCTATGGTCAACCCTGGCCACCTATGGGCAGCCATGGTCACCTGTGAGCGCTATGGTCATGGGTGCCCACCATGGCTACCTATGATAAGCCATGGCCACCTATGGTCCACCTATGGTGGGGTGTGATGGATGATGGTGGATGGAGGTGGATGGATGATGATGATGATGATGGATGGATGGAGGTGGATGGATGATGATGATGATGGATGGATGGATGATGGATGGAGGTGGATGGATGATGATGATGATGATGGATGGATGGAGGTGGATGGATGATGATGATGATGATGATGATGATGGATGGATGATGGATGGAGGTGGATGGATGATGATGATGATGATGGATGGATGGATGGATGGAGGTGGATGGATGATGATGATGATGATGGATGGAGGTGGATGGATGGTGATGGTGATAATGATGATGATGGATGGATGGAGGTGGATGGATGGTGATGGTGATGATGATGATGATGGATGGATGATGGATAGAGGTGGATGGATGATGATAATGATGATGGATGGATGGATGGAGGTGGATGGATGATGATGATGTATATTGATGGATGGATGGATGATGGATGATGATGGATGGAGATGATAATGATGAGGATGGATGGATGATGATGATGTAGATGGATGGATGATGCCTGATGATGATGGATGATGGATGGATGATACATAATGGATGCATGATGACTCTACCAGACCCACACCCCCCCTCACCCCCATTACAGATGGAGCCCGTCTCGAACCAACACCCGGCGTCGGTGCCGGGGCTGGAGCTGCGCGGCCAATGTGGGGCCCGTTCCCGTTGGCTCAGGCCTCGCGTCCCCGGCTCCAGCCCATAGACCGGCCACAACCGGTCCCCTTGACCGTCGGTGTCCAGCACCACGTAGGGGACCCTGACGGCCCCATCCTGGTCAATGGAGAAGCTTTGGCAGAAGCCATCGACGTGGAGGTCGTGGAAGCTCTGGGCCACGCTGGTGCCCATCACCCAACGGCCCGCGCGGCGCGCGGCCTCCACCGCCGCCGCCAGCACGAAGATGGAGTTGTAGATGGTGGCGAAGAGAGGGTGGACCTATGGGGGGGGGGACAAGGGAAGGGGAAGGGGGGTGTGTGTCAATGGGGTGAGGGAGCGGCAGGAGGTGGAGGGTATGGGAATGGGGTCGGTTGGGGTTGCTGTGGGTCAAGGGTGGTGGTCATGGTCATCTCTACTCAATGATGTTGGCCATGGTTATCTCTACCCAATGACGTTGGCCATGGTTATCTCTACTCAATGATGTTGGCCATGGTCATCTCTACTCAATGACGTTGGCCATGGTCATCAACATCCAATGCCATTGGCCATGGTCATCTCTACTCAATGATGTTGGCCATGGTCATCAACATCCAATGCCATTGGCCATGGTCATCTCTACTCAAGGATGTTGGCCATAGTTATCTCTACCCAATGGTGTTGGCCATGGTTATCTCTACTCAATGATGTTGGCCATGGTCATCTCTACTCAATGATGTTGGCCATGGTCATCAACATCCAATGCTATTGGCCATGGTCATCTCTACTCAATGATGTTGGCCATGGTCATCAACATCCAATGCTATTGGCCATGGTCATCTCTACTCAATGATGTTGGCCATGGTCATCAACATCCAGTGCTATTGGCCATGGTCATCTCTACTCAAGGATGTTGGCCATAGTTATCTCTACCCAATGGTGTTGGCCATGGTCATCTCTACCCAATGATGTTGGCCATGGTCATCACCATTCAATGCCATTGGCCATGGTCATCTCCATTTGAGTCCCATTGGCCAAGTTCTCCTCTAACTGCCCCATCCTACAACCAATCCATCACCCATCTCTGTAGATCCCATTCCCACCCCCTAGATGTGTCCTTCTCCCCATAGACCTGTCCCTCACCCCATAGACCTCCCCTACACCCCATAGACGTGCTCCACACCCCATCGACCTTCCCTCACCCAATAGAGACGTCCTTCACCCCATAGAGATGATACCCCACAGAGGTGTCCCTCACCCCATAGACCTCCCCTACACCCCATAGCCCTGCCCCTCACCCCATAGCCCTGCCCTCCACCCCATAGACATGCCCTCCACACCATATCCCTGCCCTCCACCCCATAGACATGTCCCTCCCCCCATAGCTCCCCCCCCCCCCATAACCCTGCCCCACACCTGCATGGGATCGATGTAAGCAGGGACCTCATTGGCCTCCTGGGCCCGGAGCAGGGCTTGGTGGAAGGAGCCGTGGGGCGAGTCCATGGTGATGGTGAGGACGGCGTCGTGGGCGCGGCGCAGGCGGGTGCTGTTGGCCAAGCCGGGGTAGGCGAGGCTCTGGTAGGGCAGGGGGAAGGTGAGGGTGTCGTAGGGGATGAAGACGAAGGAGCCGTCGGCCATGCCCATGTCCTCGGCCGTCTCCAGGAGGACTTTCTGCTCCTCGCCGCCCAGCAGCACCGAGTGCATGCACATCAGCACCACTGCGGGGACAGCGCCGTCATCGTCGTCGTCGTCGTCATCAATCATCCATCCATCGTCATCAATCATCCATCCATCATCATCCATCATCATCGTCATCCATCGTCATCATCCATCCATCATCATCAACCATCATTGTCATCATCCATCATCATCCATCCATCGTCATCATCGTCATCCATCCATCATCATCATCATCCATTATCCATCATCATCATCACCATCATCCTCCATCCCCATCCTCCACCCTTCTTCACCTTCATCCCCCCCATCCCCATCCTCCACCCCCCATCCCCCCCATCACCCCCACCCCCCCCACATCCCCCTGCCCCTCACCTCTCACTCCATCCGCCCTCTTCACCTTCCTCAACGCCTCCTTCGCCTCCTCTTCCTCGGCCCCGGCCACGGCCACCACGCTCACGGGCAAGCCCTTGGCCCTCAGCCCTTGGGCCACCCCTTGCCCCACTTCCCTCCATGGGTCCTGTGGGGCGGCCACCACGGCCACGTGGGCCCAGCGGAAGAAGCTCAGCACCGCGTGCAGCACCTCCACCGCCCCCGGCATGGGGGGCACCAACGTCTCCAACCCCTCCCCGTCACCCGCGCCCCCTAAGCAGCTCCAGGCCACCAAGGGCTTGTTCCAAGCGGCCATAAGGAGGGCGGCTGCCCCACAAGTGCCCGGGTTGATGGGGCCCACCAAGGAGGAGGCGTAGCGCTCGACGTTGAGGAGCCCCATGGTGGCTTGGGGGGTGGAGCAAGCTTCCGAGAGGACCACGGCGTCCCACCAATAGGCTTGGTTGTAGTTGGGGTCCCCGTTGAGGCGGGAGGTGGCCAAGCGAGAGGCCAGCTCCGGGTGGGCCCGGGCCAGGATGGGGTCGCAGGACCAGGGCCCCATGACCCCCACCTTGAAGGTGGCGGCGTGGGTGGGGGGGGAAGGGAGGAGGAGGAGGAGGAGGAGGAAGAGGAAGAGGAAGGGGAAAGGGTGGGGGAAGGGCCACCGGGGGTGGTGGGAGAGGTGGAGGAGGAAGAGGGGGGAGAGGGGGGCGGCGGTGGAGGGGCAGCCGGTGGAGGTGTCCCCATGGGTGACCCCATTGAGGCTCCCGTTGGAGATGCCATCGTTGGAGATGATGTCCCCATTGATGTCCCCATTGATCTTCCCATTGGAGATGCCATCGTTGGAGATGCAACCATTGGAGATGTCCCCATTGATGTCCCCATTGATCTTCCCATTGGAGATGCCATCGTTGGAGATGCAACCATTGGAGATGTCCCCATTGATGTCCCCATTGATCTTCCCATTGGAGATGCCATCGTTGGAGATGCAACCATTGGAGATGTCCCCATTGATGCCCCCGTTGATCCTCCCATTGGAGATGCCACCATTGGAGATGCCATCGTTGGAGATGTCCCCATTGATGCCCCCATTGATCTTCCCATTGGAGATGCCCCCATTGGAGATGCCATCGTTGGAGGTGCAACCGTTGGAGATGTCCCCATTGATGTCCCCGTTGATGCTCCCATTGGAGATGCCACCATTGCAGATGCCACCATTGGAGATGTCCCCATTGATGCCCCCGTTGAGGCTCCCATTGGAGATGACACCATTGGGGGTGCCACCATTGGAGATGCCATCGCTGGAGATGCAACCATTGATGTCCCCATTGATCTTCCCATTGGAGATGCCATCGTTGGAGATGCAACTATTGGAGATGTCCCCATTGATGCCCCCGTTGATGCTCCCATTGGAGATGCCACCATTGCAGATGCCACCATTGGGGATGCCCCCATTGAGGCTCCCATTGGAGATGACACCATTGGGGGTGCCACCATTGGAGATGCAACCATTGGAGATGCCATCGTTGGAGATGCAACCATTGGAGATGTCCCCATTGAGGCTCCTATTGGAGATGCCACCATTGGAGATGCCACCACTGGAGATGCAACCATTGGAGATGCCATCGTTGGAGATGCCTCCATTGATGCTCCCACTGGAGATGCCGTCGTTGGAGATGCAACCGTTGGAGATGTCCCCATTGCTGCCACCATTGGCGACGTCGTTGTTGGAGGGGCAACCATTGGAGATGCCCCCATTGATGCTCCCATTGGAGATGCCACCATTGGAGATGCTGTTGTAGGCGATGATGCCGTTGGAGACACCCCCAGTGATGTTCCCATTGGAGATGCCATCATTGGAGATGTCCCCATTGACGCTTCCATTGGCGATGCCATCATTGGAGATGCAACCATTGAAGATGTCCCCATTGATGCTCCCATTGGCGATGCCATCGTTGGAGATGCAACCATTGAAGATGTCCCCATTGATGCTCCCATTGGAGATGCAACCATTGAAGATGTCCCCATTGATGCTCCCATTGGAGATGCTGTTGTTGGGGGTGATGTCATTGGAGATGCAGCCATTGGGGATGCCCCCATTGGTGCTCCCATTGCAGATGCCACCATTGGAGGTGGCGCCATTGGAGATGCAACCCCCATTGGAGACGATGCCCTTGGAGGTGTTGCCATTGGAGAAGCCATTGTAGGAGATGCCACCATTGGAGGTGTCATCGTTGGAGATGTCCCTGGTGGAGACGCCGCCATTGGAGACGCCATTGGCATGGGTGGCACTGTGAGTGTTGGAGGTGCCACCACTAGGGGAGGTAGAGCTCTTCAGAGAGATGCCACCATTGGCGATGTCCCTGTTGGAGAGGCCACCATTGGAGATGCCTCCAACGATGTCCCCATTGAAGATGTCCCCATTGATGTTCCCATTGGAGATGTCCCCATTGGAGATGCCTCCAACGATGTCCCCATTGAAGATGTCCCCATTGAAGATGTCTCCATTGGAGATGCCACCATTGGAGATGCCGCCATTGGAGATGCCACCATCGATGTCCCCATTGAAGATGTCCCCATTGGAGATGCCACCATCGATGTCCCCATTGAAGATGTCCCCATTGATGATGTCCCCATTGGAGACGCCATCATTGGAGATGACGCACCCATTGATGTCCCCATTGAAGATGTTGTCCCCATTGATGTCCCCATTGAAGATGTCCCCATTGACGTTCCCATTGGAGATGCCACCATGGACAAGGTCTTCCTTGGAGAGGTCCCCATTGGCGATGATGCCCCCATTGGTGATGTTGCCCCCATTGATGCCCCAATTGGTGATGCCGTCGATGGCCCCATTGACGGCCCCATTGATGGCCCTATTGACGGCCCCATTGACGTCCCCATTGACATCCCCATTGACGTCCCCATTGATGACCCCATTGAAGCCCCCATTGACGCCCCCGTTGACGGCCCCATTGACATCCCCATTGACATCCCTACTGACGTCCCCACTGCCGGCCCCACTGACGTCCCCATTGATGCTCCCATTGATGGCCCCATTGATGCCCCCATTGACATCCCCATTGAAGCCCCCATTGACTTCCCTATCGAAGCCTCCATTGGTGCCCCCATTGACGGCCCCATTGACGTCCCTATTGATGCCCCCATTGAAGTCCCCATTGACGTCCCCATTGATGTCCCTATTGATGCCCCCATTGACGTCCCCATTGATGTCCCTATTGATGCCCCCATTGACGTCCCCATTGACGACCCCATTGACCGCCCCATTGAAGTCCCTATTGACAGCCCCATTGACGGCCCCATTGACAGCCCCATTGACGGCCCCATTGATGCCCCCATTGGTGTCCCCATCGGTGCCTGCAGGGGCCATGGCCCTGCCTCCCCCCATGCTCTGGGGGCTCTTCAGGCCCGGGGGGGCCGCGCAGGGGGGGCTCGGGGGGGTCCCCATGGGTCCAGCGAGGTCACCATGGCCGGGGGGGGCGATACCACCTGTGGGGGGGGTAGAAAGGGGGTGATGATGGGGGGGGGGGCCATTGAGGGGGTATGGGGGTGGCCTAAGGGGGGTTATAGGGACCCATAGGGGGGGTAATGGGGCGCTATGGGGGTCCATGGGGGGTAATGGGGGCCTATGGGGGGGCTATGGGGGTTATAGGGGGGTTATGGGGGTCCATTGAGGGGCTATGGGGGGGGCTATAGGGGGGTAATGGGGGCCTATGGGGGGGCTATGGGGGTTATAGGGGGGTTATGGGGGTCCATTGAGGGGCTATGGGGGGGGCTATAGGGGGGTAATGGGGGCCTATGGGGGGGCTATGGGGGTTATAGGGGGGTTATGGGGGTCCATTGAGGGGCTATGGGGGGGGCTATAGGGGGGTAATGGGGGCCTATGGGGGGGCTATGGGGGTTATAGGGGGGTTATGGGGGTCCATTGAGGGGCTATGGGGGGGCTATAGGGGGGTAATGGGGGGCTATGGGGAGGTAATCAGGGGTTATGGGGGCCCATAGGGGAATAATGAGGGGCTATGGGGGTCCATAGGGGGATAATGGGGGGCATAGGGGAGGCCTAAGGGGGGTTATAGGGGCCCATAGAGGGGCAATGGGGGGCTATGGGGAGGCAATGGGGGGGTTATGGGGGTGGTTATGGGCACCCATAGGAGAGTAATGGAGGGCTATGGGGCCCATAGGGGGATAATGGGGGGGCTATGGGGGGTTATGGGGGTGGTTATGGGGGCCCATACGGGGGTAATGGGTGGCTATGGGGTGGTATGGAGGGGCTATGGGGGTTATGGGGGTCTATAAGGGGGTAATGGGGGACTATGGGGGTCTATAGGGGGTTAGGGGGGTCCATTATGGGGTTATGGGGGGGGTATAGCGGCCCATAGGGGGGTAAGGGGGGTGTTATGGGGGGCTATGGGGGCCTATGGGGGTTATGGGGGGGGGTTATGGGGGTCTATAGGGGGCTATGGGGGGTTATGGGGGGGGTTATGGGGGTCTATAGGGGGTTATGGGGGGGTTATGGGGGTCTATGGGGGCCTATGGGGGGTTATGGGGGGGTTATGGGAGTCTATAGGGGCCTATGGGGGGTTATGGGGTCTATGGGGGCCTATGGGGGGTTGGGGGGGTTATGGGGGTCTATAGGGGCCTATGGGGGGTTATGGGGAGGGTTATGGGGGTCTATAGGGGCCTATGGGGGGTTATGGGGGGGTTATGGGGGTCTATAGGGGCCTATGGGGGGTTATGGGGAGGGTTATGGGGGTCTATAGGGGCCTATGGGGGCGTTATGGGGTCTATGTGGGGCTATGGGGGGGTTATGGGGGTCTATAGGGGGCTATAGGGGGCTATGGGGGGGTTATGGGGATCTATAGGAGGCTATGGGGGGTTATGGGGTCTATGTGGGGCTATGGGGGGGGTTATGGGGTCGATGTGAGGCTATGTGGGGTTATGGGGGTCTATAGGGGCCTATGGGGGGTTGTGGGGGGATTATGGGGGGCTATGGGGGGCTATGGGGGTCTATGTGGGGCTATGGGGGGTTATGGGGGGGTTATGGGGGGCTATGGGGGGCTATGGGGGGTTATGGGGGTCTATAGGGGCCTATGGGGGGTTGTGGGGGGGTTATGGGGGCTATGGGGAGCTATATGGGTCTATGTGGGGCTATGGGGGGTTATGGGGTCTATGTGGGGCTATGGGGGGTTATGGGGTCTATGTGGGGCTATGGGGGGTTATGGGGTCTATGTGGGGCTATGGGGGGTTATGGGGTCTATGTGGGCCTATGGGGGGTTATGGGGGTCTATGTGGGGCTATGTGGGTCTATGTGGGTCTATGTGGGGCTATGGGGGTCTATGTGGGTCTATGTGGAGCTATGGGGGTCTATGTGGGTCTATGTGGGTCTATGTGGGTCTATGTGGGGCTATGGGGGGGGTTATGGGGTCTATGTGGGCCTATGGGGGGTTATGGGGGTCTATGTGGGGCTATGTGGGTCTATGTGGGTCTATGTGGGGCTATGTGGGTCTATGTGGAGCTATGGGGGTCTATGTGGGTCTATGTGGGTCTATGTGGGGCTATGGGGGGGGTTATGGGGTCTATGTGGGCCTATGGGGGGGTTATGGGGGTCTATGTGGGGCTATGTGGGTCTATGTGGGTCTATGTGGGGCTATGTGGGTCTATGTGGAGCTATGGGGGTCTATGTGGGTCTATGTGGGTCTATGTGGGGCTATGTGGGGTCTATGTGGAGCTATGGGGGTCTATGTGGGTCTATGTGGGTCTATGTGGGTCTATGTGGGGCTATGGGGGGGGTTATGGGGTCTATGTGGGCCTATGGGGGGTTATGGGGGTCCCGGAGCTCTCCCTGACCCACACAGATGAGGTCACCCCCCCCCTCCCCCCCCACTCCCATCATCCCCCGCGGCCCCATTAATCCCATGGGGGGGGGGGGAGTAAAACCCGGATTATCCCCACCCCTCCCCCCCCGGGCGATACCACGTGAGGAGATGGGGGGGAGGGGACAGAGAGTGACAATCCCCTCCCCCCCATTGCTTCCCATTGCACCCCATTGGCACCCATTGGCACCCATTGATACCCGTTGGCACCCATTGATACCCATTGGCACCCATTGACATCTATTGGCACCTATTGGCACCCATTGGCACCCATTGATACCCATTGACCCCACTGACACCTTTGGCACCCATTGGCACCCATTGATACCCATTGGCACCCATTGACACCTATGGGCACCCACTGATACCCATTGACCCCATTGACACCCATTGGCACCCATTGGCACCCATGGGCACCCATTGACACCCATTGGCACTCTACTGACACCCATTGGCACCCATTGGCACCCATTGCACCCTATTGGCAGCCGTTGGCACCCATTGACACCCAATGACACCCATTGGCACCCACTGACACCCATTGACACCCATTGGCACCCATTGATACCCATTGACCCCCATTGACCCCCATTGGCACCCATTGGCGCCCATTGCACCCTATTGGCACCCATTGGCACCCGTTGGCACCCATTGACACCCATTGGCACCCATAGGCACCCATTGGCACCCATGGGCACCCATTGACACCATTAACACCCACTGGCACCCATTGGCACCCTATTGACACCCATTGACACCCATTGGCTCCCTTTGGCACCCGTTGGCACCCATTGCCCCCTCTGGCACCCATTGATACCCATTGCATGTATGGGGACCCCAATGCACCCCATAGGGACCCCAATACCCCATAGGGACCCCAATAACCCCATAGGGACCCCAATGCACCCCATAGGGACCCCAATACCGCATAGGGACCCCAATAACCCCATAGGGACCCCAATACCCCATAGGGACCCCAATAACCCCATAGGGACCCCAATACCCCATAGGGACCCCAATAACCCCATAGGGACCCCAATACCCCATAGGGACCCCAATAACCCCATAGGGACCCCAATAACCCCATAGAGAACCCCATTAACCCCATAGCGGACCCCAATACCCCCATAGGAGGCCTCAATACCCCCATAGGAGCCCCCATCATCCCATAGGGGCCCCATTCACCCCCATAGGGACCCCATAGGGACCCCATACCCCCCCAAAGGGGCCCATTCACCCCCATAGGGACCCCATAGTGACCCCATAGGACCCCATTCACCCCCATAGGGATCCCATAGAGACCCATTGATCCCCATAGGGACCCCATTCACCCCCATAGGGACCCCATAGAGACCCATTCACCCCCATAGGGACCCCAAAAGGACCCCATTGACCCCCATAGGGACCCCATAGAGACCCCCATTGACCCCCATAGGGACCCCATTGACCCCCATAGGGACCCCATTGACCGCTATAAGGACCCCTTGACCCCCATAGGGACCCCATAGAGACCCCCATTGACCCCCATAGGGACCCATTGACCCCCATAGGGACCCCATTGACCCCTATAAGGACCCATTGACCCCCATAGGGACCCCATAGAGACCCCCATTGACCCCCATAGGGACCCCATTGACCCCCATAGGGACCCATTGACCCCCATAGGAACCCCATTGACCCCCGTAGGGACCCCATTGACGCCCATAGGGACCCCATAGGGACCCATTGACCCCCATAGGGACCCCATTCACCCCCATAGGGATCCCATTCACCCCCATAGGGACCCCATAGGGACTCATTGACCCCCGTAGGAACCCCATTGACCCCCATAGGGACCGCATTGACCCCCATAGTGACCCCATAGGGGCCCATTGACCCCCATAGGAACCCCATTGACCCCCACAGGGACCCAATTGACCCCCATAGGAACCCCATTCACCCCCATAGGGACCCCATAGGGACCCATTGATCCCCATAGGGACCCCATTGACCCCCATAGAGACCCCATTGACCCCATAGGGACCCCATTGACCCCCATAGGGACCCAATTGACCCCTATAAGGACCCATTGACCCCCATAGGGACCCATTGACCCCCATAGGGACCCCATAGGGACCCATGGACTAACATAGGGACCCCATTGACCCCCATAGGGACCCGATTGACCCCCATAGGGACCCCATTGACCCCCATAGGGACCCCATAGGGACCCCATTGACCCCCATAGGAACCCCATAGGGACCCATGGACTAACATAGGGACCACATTGACCCCCATAGGGACCCAATTGACCCCCATAGGGACCCCATAGGGACCCCATTGACCCCCATAGGGACCCCATAGGGACCCATGGACTAACATAGGGACCACAATGACCCCCATAGGGACCCAATTGACCCCCATAGGGACCCCATAGGGACCCCCATTGACCCCCATAGGGACCCCATTGACCCCCATAGGGACCCATTGACCCCCATAGGGACCCCATTGACCCCCA